AGGGGTGGTAGAACTGCGTGCTGTGACACTGCAGCACCGACCTTTCACACCTAACCACATCCCTCACACCGCCCCTCGTACCACTCTGGGTCTTTACAACACCCCTTCTACCATCCCCCCCTCACCAGCAATCATGGCGAGGCGCTTGTTGGGGTCGTCATCCCCATAGAACCAGATGCGCGCATTGGAGGGGTAGTAGAACTGTGTGCTGTCGTACCCCTTCATAGCACCCCTGACCCCATCCACTCTGAATCTTTACAGCACCCCTACTACCACCCAACCCTCACCCGTAGAACCAGATGCGCGCGTTGGAGGGGTGGTAGAGCTGCAAGCTGTGACACTGCAAGAACACACTACCTCTACCACCTCCCCTCGCACCACCCCTTGCCCCCTTCACCAATATTTACACCACGCCCCCTCACCAGCAATCATGGCGAGGCGCTTGTTGGGATCATCATCCCCATAGAACCAGATGCGCGCGTTGGAGGGGTGGTAGAACTGCGCGTGGAAGTCCTGGAACTGCTGGAAGGACAGCTGCGGGATGACCTTGGGATCCCCGCCACTGTCCACCGCATACTCGTTGTCGGGGAACAGGGCCTGGGGGGAAGGAAAGAGAGGGTGGGGGAGTAATAGAGAATGCAAGAAGGTTGGAGGTTGAATGAGTGGGAGTGGGTGGGAGTGGAGAGGCGAGGGCGAATGCGGGTGGGAACTTCTTAAAGCTGTTGTCCACTGCGTACTCGTCGCCTGTCAGCAGACAACGGCTTGGGCGGAGGAAGGGAGAGTGCTGAACAGTCACCTGCACGCGCCCATCACCCTTTTTTCCGCATTCCCCCCCAGGCCCCTTCACCCTCTCACGCTCTTCCCCCTTCACCGCTGCACAGCACGCATGAACACGGATTCGGCCTGCAAAGTACACGCCCATCCCCACCCATCCGCCCCCATCTCCACCCATCTCCCCCGATCCCCCTCACCCTTGCTCCCCTCCCCCTACTCCCCCCTTTCCCCCCTCACCTGCTGCACGGCGCGCATGAGGACGGAGGCGGGCTGCGATTACACACCCTTTGCTACACGGCTCGCATCCCCTTTTCCCACCAATCTGCCCCGCACCCGCTCCCCTTTATCCCCTCCCTCTCCCCGTACTTTTCCCTTCACTGCTCACCTGCTGCACGGCGCGCATGAAGACGGAGTCGGGCTGCGAGTATACGCCCTTCACTGCACGCGCCCATCCTCCTTCCCCACTATCTCCCCCCAAACCCCTCTTCCCGCTCCCTCTTCCCCCCTCCAGATGCCCCGCTCCCCCTTCCCCATTTACCCCTTCACCCTCTCCCCTCTCACCTGCTGCACGGCGCGCATGAAGACGGAGTCGGGCTGCGAGTACACGCCCTTCATCTCGTTGAATACCACGCCTGCCCATTCAGAGGGACGCATGGGGGCATGGGGGCACCAAGTGGGCACCATGGCGGCAGCAAGGGAAGGCACAGAATGAAGACGGAGTCGGGCTGCGAGTACACGCCCTTCATCTCGTTGAACACCACGCCTGCCGCGATCGCAACGGCCCATGGCGACATGAGGAAGAAACGGGGGTTGGGGCACCAAGGGACGGGAGGGACGGGGAAGACACGAGGAAAAAACACTCGCAATTGAGTGACACAAAGATTGCTAGTATCCATACAGAGTTGCACTTCTAAAATTTGTGAGTTTTGCACCCTCGACCGCCACGAATCCCATCCGTCCAATTTCACATTCCCATCAAGATCCCAGCCCTCCACACCACATCTTAAACGTTAATCGTGGCCGTGGATGTACCTTTGAAGGTGATATCGTCCTTGGGATCATCGAGCTCGTAGTGCCACCCCTCCTGCTGGAACGTCTTCTCGTCGCGCACGCAGTTGGGGAAGAACACCGCGTCCAGGTACACGTCCACCAGGTTGTAGAAGTCCTGTAACGGGTTGAACAATAATGAGGTATATTATTGAGGCTAATAAGACACCGCGTCCAGGTACACGTCCACCAGGTTGTAAAAGTCCTGTAACGGGTTGAACAATAACGAAGCAGGACATCGTGTAACGGAACGTAGATTGAGGGGTGACGAGGGCGCTTAAGGCCAAACGGTAGAGAGGGGTGCAGTTCGTTTGATTTACTTACTTAGGAATGTTCAGCGCGCGCGGGTCTCTATCATCAAATCAAGAGCGGCGGGTGGGTTAATAGGTCCCACGTGCGAGCGCGAAAACTGTGTCAAAGACGCACGCAAGACGTCTTACCTGCAGGTTCGTGGAAGCTACGGGGTAGCACGTGCGGTCGGGGTAGGTGAACGCGTTAAGGAAGGTGTTGAGCGAGCCCTTAGCGAGTTCGACGAATGGCTCTTTAACGGGGTACTTGCGCGAGCCGCAGAGCACGGAGTGCTCGAGGATATGCGGAATGCCCGTACTGTCCTTGCTGTAGGGCGCAAGAGGGGGCCACGTGGGAGAACAAGGGGGAGGGAACGGCGGTGTGGAGATAAACGGGGAGGAGAAGGGAGGAATCGGCCGGAGGGAGTTTTCTAAAAGGGAAGTTTCCACACACACCATACCCACAAAAGGGTGGTACGGACGCGGATGCACGTACTGCGGCTAGTGCCTTGACAAAACCGACTCTTGCACAACTGGCTCCATTCGTTCTACTTCTCTCTGTTCCTTCTCTCGTCGTTTTGAGAAATATCTGGAGCCAAAAAGACCGTTAAGCCTCTCCGCGGATTCACGAAGGAGTGCGCAAGGTGATGCCTTTCCGCGGACTCACGGGGGCGTGCGGAAGGTGATGCCGAAGACCTTGTTCTCGTCCGCGCAGCACAGCGACATGATCTGCGCGCCCGTGCGCACGTGGCGGTACACCGTCGCCTCCGCGTTGTACTCCGCCACGTGCTCGCGCCGCTCCTCCTCGAACCCCAGCCGCGCCACCACCTCCGGGCTCGCCGCTGCGGTGGGGGGGAAGGGGAGGAATGATTTTGGGAGAAAAAGGGAGAGTCAGGGGGTGGGATGTGATGGGGTGCGGTCGGATGTTGCCGAGCGCAAAAAAAAACGCCGTGAATCAAGAAAGCGAAGAAAAAACATCAGTAAGCCTTGGATCCGTCTTCTTCCGTGGTGATTTCAGGCTGGAAGCTAAGGACACGGTAAGCCAAGTAAGCAGCGGAGGCACGCGCATGGAGAGGACACGCGAGGGAGATTGACGCTATGGTGGGTGGAAGCCGCATCGGCGATCAACGCGAAGGAGATTATAAACGGTCGAGTTAAAAAACGTAATCTAGAAGCCGGCGATCCAGAAGACAGCAGATCGAGGCCAGACGAAGTGGCTAGTCACAACAATGGCGGACCTTGCTGGCTGGCGGGGGCTGTGGCGACAGATCCGGACGGCGCAGCGGAGCACGACACGCGCGGAATTCGTGCAGCGTTTGCGGCCAGCTTCCGCGCAAGAACCGCTGACGGCGCAACGGTTCCACCAGTCAGCCTGCGCAATCCGCGCCATGGCTCCCCGCGCAACCCACGAGGAGCAGTGGTCGGGATCTGAATGACCCCTTTTGCGGACGATCCGCGCGCGACGAAATGCGCGCGCGGAACTGCGGAAGGCGCAACAGCAGCCGCGGAAGTGCCAGCGGCCGTGGAAAGAGCGCCTGACATGACTGCTGACGTCAGCGTGCGGAGAGCGGAGTACGGGGAAGCGCGCGACGCAGAAAGGTACGGAGAGGCAGCCACTGATGAAAATGGCAAATCCCTCGGTAGAGGAACCGTCCGTGGAGCTAAGAGCGCGAAAGACGGGCGGAATCGGACCAGAAGCGCACGAGCAGCACCAGACATTAACTCAAAACTAACTATGGACTTCAAATAAACGAGCTATATGGCCTGTGCTGGCCTAACCCGTAAGCCCTGCCAATCGAGTCTGTTGAGAATTCTGTATCGTCCCTGAAGGTCGGAAAATGGTGCTGTGTAGATTCTCGAGCGTGTGTGGGAGTCCAGTGGAGAATGTTCCAGCTGGATGCAACTGCGTGCGGGGAAAGGGCTGAGGTGAGAGGGGGAATTTCTGGGTGAGTGGGGGGAGTGTGGCGGGAATCCGTGGTGTGGTGGTGCGGGTGAAATTTCTGGCAGGGGGGGTGCACGTGGACAGCTGGAAGTGGTGTGATTTACGAGATGACGTGGTGTACCTTCGTGGATGGGTTACGAGATCACCACGTGGAGGAACGAAGCAACCAGTGCAGGTGAAGGTCTTCAACGGTGTTTTTGTAAAAACGAAATTCTAAACATTATTTCTCCCTGGTTTTTGCAGAGACTGTACAATTTCTGACTTAAGGATCACAATGTCGGGTATTTTAATAGCGCGAATTCTATATGTTGCAAGAGAGTTCTTCCCGCACCACACCGCACCCAACCATGCATGACGCCTGATCCTCAGTTTCATTCTCCACAGACTCTCCTTGTACAGAAACGCCAATGCGATCCGAGTCAATTATAGCCTCCTAGGAGTTCCCCGCTGCTTGAAGCTGCCATTTTGGTCGCTTCTGTGGCGTTCGACTGTGCTCTGACGTGGTCGTTACCTGCGTGCACGTCGCACCGTAGTTCGCGGGGACAAGGTCGTTTCTGTGGCTGTTTTCCCCCAACGCCATGGCGAGAGGTTCGGTTTCCGGTCTGGGAAGGCTGAGACTGCTCCTAGCCTCCGCTAGACCGTCCGATCAAGCCCAACGTTTTGTTACCGCCCATCCCTCGATCTCGCAACTCGCATCTTCCCACGCCGTTTCGCCAGCAGCCAGCACGTGTTCGGATCTACCTCCCCCACATGCACCTCGCGATCCGCCATCCACCACCCATGCGCCATACGTCCCCGTCACTCCATCTCTGGGAACCGTCAGTGCCAGATCCGTCACCGTCGAACCCGTTAGTGCTAGATCCGTTATTAACTCCACAGCATTCGTTAGTACACTGGCGAGTCACTCACTCTCGAGAACTCCCAGATCCCTGATCGCTGCTCCATCTGTGATGACGTCATCCGCATCACCGCTTACGTCACATCTGTTCTCGCCTCCGTCGCTCTCGTCGCCGTCTCTGTCGTCAACGTCCGCTCGTTCCTGGCTGCTGGCAGCCGGCGCCTCGTTCTCATTAGTCGCCGCGTTTTCCGGGACGGCAACGGTGGCGGCTAAGGAGCGACCCGAGGTGGATCTGGGTCGCGACGCGGAGGTGGTGCTGTACCAGTACGAGGCGTGCCCGTTCTGCAACAAGGTCAAAGGTTCGTTGTGAATGGCATCTTTCGCTGAAACACTGCTTTGTGGGAACGTGCTGGTATTGTGAACGTGCAGGTACTCTCCTGGTATTGCACGTCAACGGCAACATGTTTCATCGTCAACCGCGCCCTGTTCCATTTCCGTGTGCTCCTTGTTCCCGCAGCCTTTCTGGACTACTACGACAAACAATACAAGGTGGTGGAGGTGACCCCGGGGGCAAGAATGCCCCAATGCTCCTCGTGAATGGGGAGTTGCTTGTCCACTCCGCACGTGCTTCTCTCCTCCTCTCCTCCCCTCACCACCGATCCCTCCCACCGCAGCCTTCCTGGACTACTACAACATCCCAAATCGCGTGGTGGAGGTGAACCCCGTGGGCAAGAAGGTTCCAATGCTCCTCTTGAATGGGGAGTTCGTATCCTCACGTGTTTCTCTCCTCCTTGCCGCCCTTCTCTCCCACCGCAGCCTTCCTGGACTACTACGACATCCCATACCGCGTGGTGGAGGTGAATCCGGTGGGCAAGAAGGAGCTCAAGTGGTCGCCCTACAAGAAGGTGCCCGTGCTCGTCGTCAACGGCGAGTCGCTCGTTGACTCCTCAGGTGCGGCTCTTGTGCCTTCTTGGCCCCTCTTGGCCCCTCTTGGCCCCTCTTGGCCCCTCTTGGCCCTTGTTGGCCCTTGTTGGCCCTTGTTGGCCCTTGTTGGCCCTTGTTGGCCCTTGTTGGCCCTTGTTGGCCCTTGTTGGCCCTTGTTGGCCCTTGTTCTGAGACGTCTCAAAGCTCAAGCGGTCGCCCTACGAGAAGGTCCCCGTGCTCGTCGTCAACGGCGAATCCCTGGTCGACTCCTCAGGTGCTGCTCTTGTCCCTTCCAGCCCTTCTTCTTTCACCATTCCTTGTGAGTGGTCGCAAGAAGGAGCTCAAGTGGTCGCCCTACAAGAAGGTTCCCGTGCTCGTCGTCAACGGCGAGTCGCTCGTCCCTTCTTGGCCCTCAGGTGCTGCTCTTGTCCCTTCTTGGCCCTCAGGTGCTGCTCTTGTCCCTTCTTGGCCCTCAGGTGCTGCTCTTGTCCCTTCTTGGCCCTCAGGTGCTGCTCTTGTCCCTTCTTGGCCCTCAGGTGCTGCTCTTGTCCCTTCTTGGCCCTTTCGCCGCCGCTCCTTGGACCAGGTGCCTACGGCTTGCTAGGCTGCCTCTCACCATCCCCCCACCTCCGCACGCCCTGTCAGTTGCTCCGCGCCCACTTCCTCATGACCACCTTCTCAACTCCCCTTCACTCTGCTGCCCCCTATGCGCCAACTCGCCGCATTACACCTGTGCCCTGCCGTTGCTGCTTTTTCTTAAAACTCGCCCCCTCGCCCCTTCTCCCTCCCCTTTTCCCCCTCAACTTTCCCTCCTCCCCCTCCCCCTTCCCCCGTCTTCCCGTTCCCCACTTCCCCCCACCACCCCCACCCCCCCTCTCACTGTGCGCCAGCCATCATATCGGAGTTGCACCGCCGCCTGAACCCCTCCAAGGCCACCAACATCCCCCCGCCGCCCCTGCTGCTTCCCTTCCCCTTACTCCCTTCCCCTTACCCCCTCCCCCCCCCCACTCCCCCTCTTACATTCCCCCCCCGCGCGCCAGCCATCATATCGGAGTTGCACTGCCGCCTGAACCCCTCCAAGCCCACCAACATTCCTCTTCCCCCTTCGTCTTCCCCCATTCCCCCTCTTCCCCCCACCCCCACCGCGCGCCAGCCATCATATCAGAGCTGCACCGCCGCCTGAACCCCTCCAAGGCCACCAACATTCCCCCCGCCGCCCCTGCTGCTTCCGCCGCGGCGGCTTCCGCGCCTGGCGCGTATGCCAGCGCCATCGGCGGCGGGAGTAGCAGCAGCGCGGGGGGAACTAGCAGCAGCGGGGGCGGTGGTGTGGCGGAGGGAGTGGCGGAGGTTGTGGGGCACGTGGGGGAGCGGGGCGTGGCGGAGGGGCAGGCGGAGGAGGAGCTTGATGAGGAGACCCGATGGCGCAGGTATGGCGTGGGGGAAAGGGGGGAGGGGGGGAGTGAAATAGAGGGGCGTGGCGGAGGAGGAGCTGGACGGAGAGACCAGATGGCGCAGGTATGGCGTGGGGGAAAGGGGGAGAGGGGGAGTGGGGTAGAGGGGAGGGGTGGAGGGGGTGGGGGAGAGGGGATGGATGGAGGGAAAAGGGGAAGGGAGAAAGGCAGAAAAGGGGTGGTGGGGAAAGGGACAAGAGGAGTACAAGCGTATGTTGCGTTACATAAGTGTTTGGGTGGGAGTTTGAGGGGCACGGAGAGAAGGGGGGGGGATGAGAAGGAGGGAGGATGAATCAGGAGTGTCCAGTGGATAGAGTGCGCCCCATGGGTCATCCCTCACACCTTGCTCCCCTGTGGGATAACGGTCATTCCATATGCGTCTCTCACTCTCTCTCTACTCTCTCTCTCCTCCATGGCAGGTGGGTGGATGGGCACCTGGTGCACCTGCTCTCGCCCAACATCCACCGCCTCGTGAGGCGTCTCGAATAACAGTTATCCCGTGTGCGCCTCTCACTCTGTCTCTCACACTCTCCTTCCCCTCTCTTCTCCATGGCAGGTGGGTGGACGGACACCTCGTGCATCTGCTCTCGCCCAACATCTACCGCTCGCCCTCCGAGGCGCTAGAGGCATTCGACTACATTGCCACCAATGGTATGCCTCCCCACCCTCCTCTGCTCTGCTCGTGATTCTTGGGTCGACTCACACTCACCTCTGAGGCGCTAGAGGCATTTGACTACATTGCCACCAATGGTACCACCTCCCACCCACCACTACCACCATTGCTGCACTGTGGGTTTACTGAAACGGTTCTTGAGTTGACTCACAGTTGCCTCCGAGGCGCTAGAGGCATTCGACTCCATTGCCACCAATGGTAACACTTCCCCTCCGCCACCGTTGCTCTGCTCTCTCTAGCTCTCTTTTGTGCTTCTGAAGGAAGGCCTGTGCCTATGCGCTTGTTGTGAGGGCCATTCATGGCTGCCGACTCGCTTCGCTAGACTCGGCACATCCAGATAATCTCATAAACGCCTCTCTGCTCTGGCCAGCAGCTTCTCTGGCCACCTCTGCTCTGCTCTCTCTAGCTTCCTCTGTGCTCATGCCCTTGTGACAGCCATGAATGAAAAGCTTTCTCTGGTAGCGCAGCATGTCAAACAAGTGCTTTTTTAGAGTCGACTCAACAGTCCCTCCTCCTTCTCCTCCCCCCTTTGCAGGCAACTTCACGGCATGGGAGCGCATGATGGCTCAGTATTTTGGGGCGGGCGCCATGTATGTGATTGGGAAGAAGCTGAAGAAGAAGCACGGCATAGCGGACGCATGCTCTATCTATGAGAGTCGACTCAAAACCCCTTCTCCTTCTTCTCGCCGTCCTCCTCGGCCCCATGCAGGCAACTTCACGGCGTGGGAGCGCATGATGGCTCGCTATTTTGGCGCGGGCGCCATGTACATGATCGGCAAGAAGCTGAAGAAGAAGCACGGCATAGCGGATGAGCGCACCGACCTTTACAAGGCGGCAGACGAGTGGGTGGCGGCTCTCGGCGACAGGAAGTTTCTTGGTAAGTTCTCAGTGGGTTGAGTGGGTTGCATGAAGTGAGCAGGCGTGTTCTGAGTCGTCTCAAAGTGCACGGACCTCTACAAGGCGGCCGATGAGTGGGTGGCGGCTCTCGGCGACAGGAAGTTTCTTGGTAAGCTGCCTGGGGGATGCTTTGGGATGTGTGGGGTGTGTGGGGTGAATGTGATGTGGCGAGCGCATCGACCTCTACAGGGCTGCTGATGAGTGGGTGACAGGAAGTTCCTTGGTAGGTTGCAGTGGGTTGAGTGGGGTGAGTAGGGAGATTTGCAAGAAGCTGAAGAAGAAGCACGGCATGGCAGGTCAGGTGAGGTGTCATGGAGTGTGACTGTGTGTGTGTGCTCCTCTGCTGCGACCGTGCCTGTGCTGATTTTCAAGCTATGTTGATGATGTGCCCTCTCTCTCTCTTTGCTGTCCCCTGGTTCCATGCATACAGGAGGAGAGACCCCGAACCTCGCTGATTTGGCAGTGTTCGGAGTGCTGCGGCCAATCAGGCACCTGACAGCTGGCAGGGACATGGTGGCGAATTCGAGCATAGGGCCGTGGTACGAGCGCATGGAGCAGCACGTGGGGGCTTCTGCCAGAATCACCGCCGCTGACGGTGCTGCTGTGACTGGTGCTGCTGCAGGCAAATAGGGCGTTAAGGTGCAAGGAGGCACGACAGGTTGGCGAATTCGAGCATAGGGCCGTGGCACGAACGCATGGAGCAGCACGTGGGCGCCTCGGCCAGGATCGCTGCTGCTGATGGTGCTGCTGGGACTGGTACTGCTGCGGGCAAATAGGGCTGTCAGATGCCCCGGCGGCAAGATGGGGTTAGAGAATCTGTAGTGTAAGGCCATGGTACGAGCGCATGGAGGAGCGCATGGGTGCCTCTGCCAGGATCAACACTGCTTATGGTGCTGCTGCTGATTGCTGCTGCAGACAAGTGGTTGCGGTTGCGAGTGAGGTGCCTGAGGGCAATATGGGGTTAGAGAATTCGAGCTTAGGGCCATGGTACGAGTTCACGGAGCAGCACATGGGCGCTTCTGCAAGGATCACCGATGGTTGGGAAGCGGAGATTGCTGTGGAGATGGCATCTTGGCATTGCTGTGCCTTGGGAACAGTGAGCATGGAAAGGTTGGTGGTTTGTGGCTCAGGCGTTGCAACTCAGTTCGGCAATAGAGGGCTTCTGATTACGGGATTGACGATAGCTTAGCTAATATGGCGTGGAGGCAAAAGTAATGGATCACATGGAAAGCCAAGGATGGCTCAACTACTAGATTTACATCAACTAGTTCATTGCATGCCATCAACTAGTTCGTCGTACCGTATGACAACCATGCATGAAACTACATCAGAGCTGGGTGTAGATTAAGAGTACTAAGCATCATAATGAAAAGCTCTCTGAAAGGAACACTATGCCAGGCACTGTCCCACGATCCCTGCCCAACTGACCTGCGTTGGAACTTGGAATGCTTTGAACAGCTGCCTGAAATCAGGACCCGACCCGAAGCTCCATCTCACTGGTGTCGCCATCGTTATTGTCGCTGGTTACATCCTGCACAATCTCCTCCGGTTGGCTGGTTCCACTGTACTACAGTGTAACGAGGAAATTTACGACGATGACAACACCTCCCAAAATCGGATGCATCGGACGGAATTGCCCTCCACGCGGTAAATCACGCAGAATTACCTCCCTCACTTCCAAGTTCACTCCCTAGTTCACAAGCACATCGAAATCTTTAGATTTCTTAGTTCGCCCTTCAGCCGTGTCAGCGCGCTGCATTGCCCTCGATCGACTGGATTCGAGCCACCGTTTTGCTGCCGCGAGAAATCCGTTCCAAATGGTGTTCGCGTGGGCGAGTTTGCATCTCTCCTTGAATTGTCTCATCTCCGCGTCAACCATGCGGGCCCGCCCGGCGGATGCAACTTTGCTGCTCATACCATCACGTGCTTCCTTGGATCCAAATCCACCGCCTCTCAAAGCCGACATTAGATGATACGGACTCTCCACTTGCCTCTACAGTCCCTCAAGGCGTTGAGGCGTCCGAATGCCTCAGATCGCGGGAGCAACATTGCGGTGCCTCCACGCAACCTATTCAACGACGGCGCCATGGATATGTTATCACTTTTCTGTTTTACTTTCTCAAAGCTTTCCAAGGTTATTCTGTATAACCGCGCGTTTTCCACCAACTGCTCCTGGGATTTTCCAGCTTTCGTTCTTTGAGACGCACAGCCATGGCGGCTGCAACCTCAGAGCCCCGGACGCTAGAGCGTCTCTGCTCGTCCAAAATCGCCAAGCACCTCAAGCGCGCCTCGTCCCTGCTGGGCTCGGGCGACCTGTGGCAAATGCACGCCGACGCGGAGGAGGCGAAGGCCACCACCCTCGCCTCTCAAGGCGGCGACGGCGCGGGTTCCGCGCGACGGCCGTGGAAAATGAGCAGCCGCGTCGTCGCGCGCATCGAGGCGTCGCTGTTGCGCTTCACGTGGCGGAAGCCGCCGCCTTCCCCCACCGCCCCGGGCAAACCGCCCAGATCGCCGATAGCGGCGAGCGTGACCGCCGATCCGCCAGCATTTTCGCCGAAATCGCCCAATCTCGCGTCGAGGAGGTTCAAGCAGCGCGGCGCCGCGGAATCGCAGATTCAGTTCCGCGTCTCCCCGTCGCCGCTCGTCTCTGCGGGAGTTGATTCCGCTGCCGCCCGCAAGCGCAATGCCTCGACGAGGGGGGAGCCTGTCGGTCGTGGGGCGTCCGCCGCTCGTCGCGGCAGGGCGAGCTTGAGCATGGATGAGGGGCAGCTGCGCGCATGGCAGCAGCACGACGCAGCAGCGCCTTCAGACGTCGTTGACACAGACAGTCTCGGCAGGAATGACGTTAACGGAAACGTCTTGTTCTCGAAGGAGGAGGCTGAAGATCTGGATGTGGGGAAATCGGGTCGTGCTGACATGGCAGAGCGGTCTTCCGCGCGATTGGCGGATTCCAGCGGGCGGTGCACTCAGAGCGGCCCGCTGCGGCGGCGGAGCGACGACAACCAGCCGAGCACCAGGGCCGCACGCAGCCCTGGTGCTAGCGGCAGCGGCAGGGCCGCCACGGGGAGCCCTGCGACTACCAGCGGCAGCGGGAGGGTTGCGGGGAGCCCTGGTACCAGCAGCAGCGGGAGGGGCAGCAGCAGCAGGGCTATGGTGGTTGGCGTGTCGCGGTCACTCACCCCCCCTTCCAGCCCTACCGTTAAGACATTCTCGTTCGAGGCGTATCGGCAGCAGCAGATGGCCGCGCAGTGATGCTCTAGTAGTGTGTTTGCCTGAAGGTGTTTGCCTCGCTGACTGTTTGTTGGTCGTGTGCTGATAAAGAATTGCTGTTGCCTGACAGCGACAAAGTGAAATTCATGCTCATAGAGCTTATTTCATGTTCATAGAGCTTATATCATGTTCATAGAGCTCATTTCATGTTCATAGAGCTTATTTCATGTTCATAACGCTTATCCTTCCTCGTGCATAACGAGAACCATCGTATGCCCTTCAACGGTTCAGATGTGTTGTAAAATACTTGGGATCCAGATTTGAGTAGCTGTGGTGCAGTTCAGCTGGTTTCCTCACGATATAACACGGTTCTTTTGTGGGTCTCTAGTTTCGAAATCGGGAAATTCAAACCAAGTTGTACCATTTCGATTCGACACCCACCAGAGTACAATTGATGCCCAACCAGTGCACGCGGATTTGCCTTGCTCCGGATGGAAACGCTGCACCCGAGGTTGTTTCCCCAGCCTGTTTCTCCCACGTTATAAGCGCGTCGCGTGGTTATCAACCAATTGTAACGAACAGACCGAGGTCAAGCAGAAGAGACTGCAGTCAAATAAGGTAACAGATCTTGTTTATAAGCACCTGCGAATCCTTTTTAGCTAGCTGCGAATTGACGAAACTTATGCGAAATGCTCGTTACAGCTTATACGCCCCCTTCACAAGGCAACCGGGAGGGGCTCAAACAGGCATCAATTGTACCCTGTGAACTTCCATCCCCACACCTCCTGCGGCTCGCGGCCTACCCTCCCTCAGCGGCATGTTCTAACACCGCGCCGCACACTAGTTTACGTGTTCACCGCATTTTGCGTGTGCTTCGGGGATGACGTGTCAGTCGATCGCCAGGTGGATCGACGGCACTGGTCGCGCCATGACGTCAGCCTCTCGTATAAGTACCGCGCAGGGTCAAGACATCATCTTATCGCGATACCTGACCGGCAAGTCTAACGGTTTACGCGATCGTGCAGCATGTTGGCGCGACACGGATGTCAGCAACAGCGGAACCGCCGGGCGACCGCTCCTGTTGCGGGGAGGCGTTGAAAGTGCGATCCGGGTCACCGCTATGCGCTCCGATCGCTGTGGGTGTAGCAGATCGCTGGCTCCCGCTGCGTTCGCGTTGACTCATAAGCAGACTTATTTAAGAAGGTCGCTCGAATGCTCGCGATCCGCCGGCGCGCCTTGCGCCACGAGCGTTGTTCACGATGGTTGGCGATCCGCGACTGACATTCCCTCGGTTAGCTTGATCAGCCAAAGTGTCCCGACAAGTCCTGTCAGCGCGATTGACGCGCAACGTGCGCATAGCTTCCGCCGATATAGCACGATCTGCCAGGCGCGGGCGGAAAGCGGGAGCGCGGAGGCACGGAATGGCGCGGGGATCGGCGCGGATGCGCGCGGGGGAAGAGAGGGGTTCGCGGCCGACGGGATCATTGTTCTGGCGGGCGGACTGAAGAGAGACGGCACCGTTCCAGGTGCGCCGGCAACCGCTTGCATTGACAGCCCTTGTATTGGCTGGAGCACCCACTGGTATCCCTAATTCATTCCTCCCACGATTTTTTATTTTACATACACCCTTCGATCCCATCCCCTTTCCTCTTCCCCTCCCTGTCTCCTCCCCCTTCCGCTCCCGCTTCTTCATCGTTCCCCCTCGCGCCGCAGAGCAGAGTGGGTGGCGCGGCGCCTGGATGCAGCCGCGGAGCTCTACCGCGCCATGAACGGGGAGGAGGGGGATGCCGCCATAAACGGGGTCCAGGGGGGCGCCTCCGCCTCCGCCAGCGCGTGCCGCTGCCCAGTAGTGGTGCTGGGGGCGGGCACTCCGCACGTGCAGCCGGTGCTGAGTCAGCACGGGCACATGTGGCATGAGAGCAGCGCGTGCGCACAGTACCTCATGGACAAGGTAGCATCTGATACAGGTAGCATTTGGGGCAGGTAGCATTTGGGGCAGGTAGCATTTGGGGCAGGTAGCATTTGGGGTGATGCAGGTAGAGAGAGCAGCACTTGCGCTCAGTACCTCATGGACAAGGTAGCGTTTGGGGCAGGTAGCGTTTGGTGGAGGTAGCATCTGGGACACGTAACGTCTAGGGCGGGTAGCAGTTCCTCGTGTTGAGAGTGTGTGAGTCAGAGTGTTAGTGAGTGCGAGCGACAGAGGGTTCGAGGGTGAGTGAGAGTGTGAGAGATGCTGTGCATTCTTGGGTGGAAAGGTAGCATCTGGGGCAGGTCGCTGTAGCTCAGTGACAAGGTAGCAAGTTAGGGCCTGGGGCAGGAGGGTGGTGCGTACACCCAAGGAGGGCGGTTAAGTGACTGAGAAGTGGTGAGTGCAATGCTGCGCAATAGATTCCTGTTTAGAATGTTGCTCATGCATCAACACAGCCGCCTGCCACACCTCTCCGCCCCATCCCCCCCCTCAGCATGGCATCTCCTCAGCACACATCTACAAGGAGTGGGCGTCATACGACACGGTGGCAAACGGCTTCTTCTCCCTCGTGTGGCCCCTCAAAACAGACCCTCCCCATTGCTCCCCCCTCACTCCTGCTCCTCCCCCACAGCACCGCATCCCCTCGTCGCACATCTACAAGGAGCAAGCGTCATACGACACAGTGGCAAACGGGTCCCTCTCCATTCCCTCCCCCCTCACCCCTGCTCCTCCCCCCCACAGCACGGCATCCCCGCCGCACACATCTACAAGGAGTGGGCGTCATACGACACCGTGGCAAACGGGTTCTTCTCCCTCGTGTGGCACGCCGTGCCGCGGCGCTGGCAGCGCCTGTTGGTGCTCACGTCCGCCTTCCACATGCCGCGCTCCGCCCTCATCTACGACTGGATCTTCTCCCTCCACGGCTCCGGCTTTGCTCATCTGCACGCTCCGCACACTTCTCACTCTCCGAACTCTCCTCCGCTGCTTTCACCCTCCTCCTCCTCCTCCTCCTCCTCCTCCTCCTCCTCCTCCTCCTCCTCCTCCTCCTCCTCCTCCTCCTCCTCCTCCTCCTCCCCCTCCCCCTCCCTCCCCCTCTTCCCCTTGCGTCCGCCACATGGCAAGTGGGAGGAGTACATTCCGCCCTGGAGGGCGGACGGAACAGGGGCGACTGGGGAAGGTGGATTCAGGGGAGGGAGTTCTGCAGGACAGGGTGGGGAGAAGGCAGGGGGGAATGGGGCTCTGTTGGGGGATTCACCTGATCAGGTGGTTTCTCAGGTGCCGTCACCTGGGGATCCGTTGGAGCAGGGCTATGAGATTCGGTTCATCAGCGCATCGGACGCCGGCATTGATCCTGACATGATTCAGGTGAACCCACCCGCCATGCGTTATGTGCCTCACCCGCCATGAGTTATGTGCCTCACTCCATCCATCTTCCACTGCACACACCATCTGCTTGAAATTCGCATGTCGCCTGCATGGCATGTGCACGGCATCACTGCTTGCAGCACGGAATCACAGCACTTCCATCCGAATCTGCTCTCCTCTCTCTCCTCCCTTTCAGCCAGTTTGCGCTGCAGCAACGAGGCGGACAGCATTCGCCTGCTGATGCCATGCATACCACATCTGCATCTTCTCCCCGCTTCGTCCTGGTCCTCACCACCCACTCCCAACACTCCCCCCTCTGGCATCCCCCATCCCCCCCAGGCCCGGCAACGCAAGGAAGCGGACAGCATTGCATCAGCGCTCACCCTGCCACTTTCCACTGCTACTTGCATTGCACCCCTCTCAATTCTCCCTTGTCTGTTCCATCCCCCTCCCTCCCAGGCCCGACAACACAAAGAAGCAGACAGCATTCGCCTGCTGCTGCCCTACATTTCTTCAGTGCACTCCCTGCCAGCCTTTAATCAACACATGAGACACAGCACCCCTCCCAATTTTCCCTTGTCTGCTCAATCCCCCTCCCAGGCCCGACAACACAAAGAAGCAGACAGCATTCGCCTGCTGCTGCCCTACATTTCGTCAGTGCACTCCCTGCCAGCCTTTAATCAACAGATGAGACACAGCACCCCTCCCAATTCTCCCTTGTCTGTTCCATCCCCCTCCCAGGCCCGACAACACAAAGAAGCAGACAGCATTCGCCTGCTGCTGCCCTACATTGCGTCAGTGCGCTCCCTGCCAGCCTTCCACCATTACATGCACACGGAGCACCGAGCATACAACGTGCAGCACCAGGGGGAGTTTGGGCAGGCGAAGAGTGCAGAGGAGGCGACGTTTGATCACATCAAGCTGTGCTATTGAAGGGGTGTGGAGGGATGTGGATGGGTGGTACGTGGTTGAACAGTGAGGCTGCAGAGTCTACCGGCTCTCCACCACTACATGCACACGGAGCACCGAGCGTACAATGTGCAGCACCAGGGGGAGTTCGGGGGGGGTGGGGTGAAGAGTGCAGGGGAGGCGACGTTTGATCTGATCACTAGAAGTTCCATTTACTTGACACTAATGTTTCTTTTATAGTTTTTTAACACCTAAGATGCAAGTATTGTGTAATAAAGAGGTTGCAAAAATGATTGCACACAGATATATACGGTAGACGTGGGGTAAGAAATTGCAAGGAACTTGAAAACTGGTTAGAATAAGACATGATTACAGGAATTTGCATGACAAGCAAGAATGTATGTGATGCATATTTTTCGGTGTTTTATTGTAGTAGTAGTATTCTTCCAATTATTTGAAGTATTCGTGTAATCTTATCACACCAGCGCAGGTGTCAGAAGATCAGTTCCACAGCCAAATCAACGACAAGTAACAGCACAGGTGCGAAACAGAGGTTTTGCTAGGTTCGTCGGTTTGCCCAACCCGTGACCCTCAGGGTATTGTCAGAGAGTGGATAGCCCCACCCCCAGAGCTCAACCCGAGCTTCTTCACTAGATATTGTATCTACGGCTATGATTTACTTCGCTCCTAGTGGTTGAAACCACGGCTTCAAATTCAAACCATTGGGCTTGCCGCGTTGCAAACTGACACAATGGCTCTGCGATTCCAGATCGGGCGACAATCGACGGATCCTAGGTCACGGGGTCCAACGTTCACCAGCGAAATCCCGCAGCTCCCGCCTTTGCCAACGGAATCTCGCTGAAAAAAGTCGGTGTTGTTCGTCTCGTGTAGCCGCTGAGGGGAAAGGAGGGGACAAGATTATATTTTCCCGTTTCCTGACCAGCACATTCATATGCCACGCGGACGATTATCAGCCAGCCACTGAAGAGGACTCTCGAATCTCCTGTCATGGACGAAAAAAAAAGCCTGACCGGACAAACGATTTGCAGCCACCGTCACTGTTCGTCGCAACCCAAAAAGGAACAGCTTAGGTTTGCCGTGACGAAACACGCAAAAGGTCTGAACCTACGGCTACGATCTGAGGTACCAAGAGCGTTTCAGTCAATACATTGATTCTGGACGGTAGATCTGAAGAGGGTTGTTGTGAGGAGACGAGAGGAGAGGCAGTTGGTGACCCCTCCGCCTGATTCCAGCGTCATTCTCGCCTCATTCTCGCCTGAGCCTCGGATCTCACAGAGCTTTCATGCTCTCATTTTCTCTCGCTCAGCTTCGTCTGCTCGTTTTCTTAGAGCTGCTGCGACTTCGAAAAGGCGAGCCACTGGCGCAGCTTATTTCGAATAGATGATGGAGGCGTTATGCTTCAGGTCTGCCTTAATCGTAGAAGCTGCGTTTACGGGAAGAGGAAAAGCGAGTGTCGTGTCATGAAGCGTCGAAACTCGGGCGATTTTAGCGATGACCATGGAAGTACAAGTGTGGGATGACCTCGGAGGTAAATTTGAGTGCGCGTGCTTGTTTTTCACGTATTCGAGCCTAATTTAGTGGTTTGATATGGTTTCGTTTTAGCACACGCGAGATTGTTCAGTGGCGCGTATGAAGTGACGACTCCGTGCTGGTTTCATGTTGCAGGTTTGTCCCTGCGGATGCGATATGTAACAAGAACCACCATCGCTATGTGGCTGTCCGTGCAATTTCGGCTGAGTACATGCGATTTCGGCTGAGTACATGCGATTTCGGCTGAGTACGTGCGATTTCGGCGAGTACGTTGAGATTTCGGCGAGAACGTGCGATTTCGACGAGTACGTGCGATTTCGACGAGTACGTGCGATTTCGACGAGTACGTGCGATTTCGGCGAGTACGTTGAGATTTCGGCGAGAACGTGCGATTTCGACGAGTACGTGCGATTTCGACGAGTACGTGCGATTTCGGCGAGTACGTGCGATTTCGTCGAGATCGTGCGAGTTCCGATAAGCTCAGGTATTTCTGGAAGCCACACCCATGCAGAGAGTCAAATTCGCAAATCAATTTCGTATGTCTCACTTCTCAATTCCGCTTTTCCGTTTTGCTCGTGGGGAACGTTTCACCGATCGATTTCGCGTTTCAGTTTCCCATTTCAATTCCGCGAATAGATTCCAAATTTCAATTTCGCGATCTGATTTCGCAGATCGATTTCGTATCACAGTCCATTTCGCGAGCTCCTTCCCTGACGCACGCTGTGGCCGCGTCTTTCCACCCACTGCAGGCCGCCGTGCGCCACGCCCTTCCCACCCCCCCTGGACGATTGCCACGCCGGTGGGCGCCTGAAACACTCTCGCCACCTGCGATTTCGGGCCCACACACAGCGCTCTCGGCGTCTCCCACCCCAAGCTAAGTCCTCACCTTGCTCACCTCGCTTGCATCATGCATAAAATTTCCTCCCTCACTGCCCTCTGTCACACTCAAGAGACCTCCCTCCCCCAAGGTAGCAGGTACAGGCTCAGGTATTCGGTTTAGTCAGGTTCAGCTGGTATGAGGTCTCTTGGGTGTGCCACTGCAGCAGTCCATTTCATGCACGCATGATTCTTGCAATCTATTCTCTCTTCGCTCTCGCTTCATTCTCTTTGCTTTGCTTCTTACCTCACTGCCCTCCCCACTCCTCTGCTTCCCCCCCCTCTCCTCCCCCTTCTCCCTTCTCTCTGTCCTAATATTCCTCCCCTCGTCCCAGCAGGTCGCTCACACGAGAGTGGCAGTGGCGGGGGACATGGAGTGCACAGGCAGCAGCTGCTCTCCACCCAACCCACCCACAGCTAAGTACCCCGCCCTACCCCACTTCCCACAACCCTCTCTCTCCTGTCTTCATGTCATTCGTTCATTTGTTTTCTACATTGATGCATCTCCTCTTTCATATTTCTTGTCCCTTCCAACGCAAGCCTCTGGTTGGGCCAAAGCTTCTCATGCCACAGACAGACGCCCTTTACTTTGGTAAACCCCCCAGGTATAGCAGGTATACTCTCAGGTCAAGCTTTCTTAGGTGTATAAACCCCCTTGCATCTGTGGCTTGTAGCTGAGGCTGCACCAGTGGACCCTCCCTCCCTCGCTTCACACTTTCATTGCCTAGTCGACACGCTTTTACTCCCCGCACAGTACACTCACTGCTGCTGTGTGTGTGCCTGGCACGTGGAGGGGAGGGGCGTGGGGTCAACACCGCCACTCCCTCGCGCTCCTCCCCTTGTGACCGTGCAGGTGGCAGTGGTGGGAGGGGAGGAGGGTAGCACTCCACTCGGCTTGGATGGGATGGGAGAGTATCGGGATTGGGTCGGCCAAACAAGATGAGCCTCTTTCCCCTCCCTGCCAGAGATGGTTTCGCATCTGCTCTTTCTTTCACTCATGCTGCTGCTTTGTCTTCTCCCTATGAGCACTTTTCTTTCTTGCTTACTCCTTGCCTTCACGTTTCTGCTTCCTCTTCTCCCCACTCTCACTGCTGTCCCTTGCTTCCTTCCTCGCCTCAACTGTAGCAAGGCGTCGAGGGGGCAGCAGGAGGGCAGCAGGGAGGCAAGAGGAGAGAGGGGCAGTAGGAGGGAGGGCAGTAGGCGAGGAGAAGGGGCAGCAACAAGGCTTCAGCTTTCCAGCTAAGTAATCCTCCTCCGAAGTGTTGCCTTTCATGAATTCCTTTGTGTCTCATGTGTTTTTCATGCTTTCCCCTCTGAAATCTCGCCCCTGGTTGGGGCCCGCTTCACTAGCCACCGACCCCCCTACCCCTACTGCTGGGTACTCCTTGGTTTTGCCTCCTCCTCCCTGGTTTTGACTCCTCTCCCCTGGTGTCGCCTCCTCCTCCTTGGTTTTGACTCCTCTCCCCTGATGTCGCCTCCTCCTCCTTGGTTTTGACTCCTCTCCCCTGGTGTCGCCTCCTCCTCCTTGGTTTTGACTCCTCTCCCCTGGTGTCGCCTCCTCCTCCTTGGTTTTGACTCCTCTCCCCTGGTGTCGCCTCCTCCTCCTTGGTTTTGACTCCTCTCCCCTGGTGTCGCCTCCTCCTCCTTGGTTTTGACTCCTCTCCCCTGGTGTCGCCTCCTCCTCCTTGGTTTTGACTCCTCTCCCCTGGTGTCGCCTCCTCCTCCTTGGTTTTGACTCCTCTCCCCTGGTGTCGCCTCCTCCTCCTTGGTTTTGACTCCTCTCCCCTGGTGTCACCTCCTCCTCCTTGGTTTTGACTCCTCTCCCCTGGTGTTGCCTCCTCCTCCTTGGTTTTGACTCCTCTCCCCTGGTGTCGCCTCCTCCTCCTTGGTTTTGACTCCTCTCCCCTGGTGTCGCCTCCTCCTCCTTGGTTTTGACTCCTCTCCCCTGGTGTCGCCTCCTCCTCCTTGGTTTTGACTCCTCTCCCCTGGTGTCGCCTCCTCCTCCTTGGTTTCGACTCCTCTCCCCTGGTGTCGCCTCCTCCTCCTTGGTTTTGACTCCTCTCCCCTGGTGTCGCCTCCTCCTCCTTGGTTTTGACTCCTCTCCCCTGGTGTCGCCTCCTCCTCCTTGGTTTTGACTCCTCTCCCCTGGTGTCGCCTCCTCCTCCTTGGTTTTGACTCCTCTCCCCTGGTGTCACCTCCTCCTCCTTGGTTTTGACTCCTCTCCCCTGGTGTTGCCTCCTCCTCCTTGGTTTTGACTCCTCTCCCCTGGTCTCGCCTCCTCCTCCTTGGTTTTGACTCCTCTCTCCTGGTCTCGCCTCCTCCTCCTTGGTTTTGACTCCTCTCCCCTGGTGTCGCATCCTCCTCCTTGGTTTTGACTCCTCTCCCCTGGTGGCGCCTCCTCCTCCTTGGTTTTGACTCCTCTCCCCTGGTGTCGTCTCCTCCTCCTTGGTTTTGACTCCTCTCCCCTGATGTCGCCTCCTCCTCCTTGGTTTTGACTCCTCTCCCCTGGTGTCGCCTCCTCCTCCTTGGTTTTGACTCCTCTCCCCTGGTGTTGCCTCCTGCTCCTTGGTTTTGACTCCTCTCCCCTGGTCTCGCCTCCTCCTCCTTGGTTTTGACTCCTCTCTCCTGGTCTCGCCTCCTCATCCTTGGTTTTGACTCCTCTCCCCTGGTGTCGCCTCCTCCTCCTTGGTTTTGACTCCTCTCCCCTGGTGGCGCCTCCTCCTCGTTGGTTTTGACTCCTCTCCCCTGGTGTCGCCTCCTCCTCCTTGGTTTTGACTCCTCTCCCCTGGTGTTGCCTCCTCCTCCTTGGTTTTGACTCCTCTCCCCTGGTGTTGCCTCCTCCTCCTTGGTTTTGACTCCTCTCCCCTGGTGTCGCCTCCTCCTCCTTAGTTTTGACTCCTCTCCAATGGTGTCGCCTCCTCCTCCTTGGTTTTGACTCCTCTCCCCTGGTGTCGTCTCCTCCTCCTTGGTTTTGACTCCTCTCCCCTGATGTCGCCTCCTCCTCCTTGGTTTTGACTCCTCTCCCCTGGTGTCGCCTCCTCCTCCTTGGTTTTGACTCCTCTCCCCTGGTGTCGCCTCCTCCTCCTTGGTTTTGACTCCTCTCCCCTGGTGTCGCCTCCTCCTCCTTGGTTTTGACTCCTCTCCCCTGGTGTCGCCTCCTCCTCCTTGGTTTTGACTCCTCTCCCCTGGTGTCGCCTCCTCCTCCTTGGTTTTGACTCCTCTCCCCTGGAGTGGCCTCCTCCTCCTTGGTTTTGACTCCTCTCCCCTGGTGTCGCCTTCTCCTCCTCCTTGGTTTTGACTCCTCTCCCCTGGTGTCGCCTCCTCCTCCTTGGTTTTGACTCCTCTCCCCTGGTGTTGCATCCTCCTCCTTGGTTTTGACTCCTCTCCCCTGGTGTCGCCTCCTCCTCCCTGGTTTTGACTCCTTTCCCCTGGTGTCGCCTCCTCCTCCTTGGTTTTGACTCCTCTCCCCTGGTGTCGCCTCCTCCTCCTTGGTTTTGACTCCTCTCCCCTGGTGTCGCCTCCTCCTCCTTGGTTTTGACTCCTCTCCCCTGGTGTCGCCTCCTCCTCCTTGGTTTTGACTCCTCTCCCCTGGTGTCGCCTCCTCCTCCTTGGTTTTGACTCCTCTCCCCTGGTGTCGCCTCCTCCTCCTTGGTTTTGACTCCTCTCCCCTGGTGTCGCCTCCTCCTCCTTGGTTTTGACTCCTCTCCCCTGGTGTCGCCTCCTCCTCCTTGGTTTTGACTCCTCTCCCCTGGTGTCGCCTCCTCCTCCTTGGTTTTGACTCCTCTCCCCTGGAGTCGCCTCCTCCTCCTTGGTTTTGACTCCTCTCCCCTGGTGTCGCCTCCTCCTCCTTGGTTTTGACTCCTCTCCCCTGGTGTCGCCTCCTCCTCCTTGGTTTTGACTTCCTCCTCCTTGGTTTTGACTCCTCTCCCCTGGTGTTGCCTCCTCCTCCTTGGTTTTTACTCCTCTCCCCTGGTGTCGCCTCCTCCTCCTTGGTTTTGACTCCTCTCCCCTGGGTGTCGCCGCCTCCTCCTTGGTTTGCCTCCTCCCCTGGTGTTGCCTCCTCCTCCTTGGTTTTGACTCCTCTCCCCTGGTGTTGCCTCCTCCTCCTTGGTTTTGACTCCTCCCCCTGGTGTCGCATCCTCCTCCTTGGTTTTGACTCCTCTCCCCTGGTGTCGCATCCTCCTCCTTGGTTTTGACTCCTCTCCCCTGGTGTCGCATCCTCCTCCTTGGTTTGACTCCTCTCGCCCTGGTGTTCGCATCCTCCTCCTTGGTTTTGACTCCTCTCCCCTGGTGTCGCCTCCTCCTCCTTGGGTTTTGACTCCTCTCCCCTGGTGTCGCCTCCTCCTCCTTGGTTTTGACTCCTCTCCCCTGGTGTCGCCTCCTCCTCCTTGGTTTTGACTACTCTCCCCTGGTGTCGCCTCCTCCTCCTTGGTTTTGACTACTCTCCCCTGGTGTCGCCTCCTCCTTCCTTGGTTTTGACTCCTCTCCCCTGGTGTCGCCTCCTCCTCCTTGGTTTTGACTCCTCTCCCCTGGTGTCGCCTCCTCCTCCTTGGTTTTGACTCCTCTCCCCTGGTTGTCGCCTCCTCCTCCTTGGTTTTGACTCCTCTCCCCTGGTGTCGCCTCCTCCTCCTTGGTTTTGACTCCTCTCCCCTGGTGTCGCCTCCTCCTCCTTGGTTTTGACTCCTCTCCCCTGGTGTCGCCTCCTCCTCCTTGGTTTTGACTCCTCTCCCCTGGTGTCGCCTCCTCCTCCTTGGTTTTGACTCCTCTCCCCTGGTGTCGCCCTCCTCCTCCTTGGTTTTGACTCCTCTCCCCTGGTGTCGCCTCCTCCTCCTTGGTTTTGACTCCTCTCCCCTGGTGTCGCCTCCTCCTCCTTGGTTTTGACTCCTCTCCCCTGGTGTCGCCTCCTCCTCCTTGGTTTTGACTCCTCTCCCCTGGTGTCGCCTCCTCCTCCTTGGTTTTGACTCCTCTCCCCTGGTGTCGCCTCCTCCTCCTTGGTTTTGACTCCTCTCCCCTGGTGTCGCCTCCTCCTCCTTGGTTTTGACTCCTCTCCCTGGTGTCGCCTCCTCCTCCTTGGTTTTGACTCCTCTCCCCTGGTGTCGCCTCCTCCTCCTTGGTTTGAATCCTCCTCTCCCCTGGTCTGCGCCTCCTCCTCCTTGGTTTTGACTCTCTCCCCTGGTTTCGCCTCCTCCTCCTTGGTTTTGACTCCTCTCTCCCCTGGTGTCGCCCTCCTCCTCCCTTGGTTTTGACTTCCTCTCCCCTGTGTCGCCTCCTCCTCCTTGGTTTTGACTCCTCTCCCTGGGTCGCCTCCTCCTCCCTTGTTTTGACTCCTCTCCCCTGGTGTCGCCTCCTACCTCCTTGTTTTTGACTCCTCTCACCTGGTGTCGCCTCCTCCTCCCTTGGGTTTTGACTCCTCTCCCCTGGTGTTCGCCTCCTCCTCCTTGGTTTTGACTCCTCTCCCCTGGTGTCGCCTCCTCCTCCTTGTTTGACTCCTCTCCCCTTGGTGTCGCCTCCTCCTCCTTGGTTTTGACTCCTCTCCCCTGGTGTCGCCTCCTCCTCCTTGGTTTTGACTCCTCTCCCCTGGTGTCGCCTCCTCCTCCTTGGTTTTGACTCCTCTCCCCTGGTGTCGCCTCCTCCTCCTTGGTTTTGACTCCTCTCCCCTGGTGTCGCCTCCTCCTCCTTGGTTTTGACTCCTCTCCCCTGGTGTCGCCTCCTCCTCCTTGGTTTTGACTCCTCTCCCCTGGTGTCGCCTCCTCCTCCTTGGTTTTGACTCCTCTCCCCTGGTGTCGCCTCCTCCTCCTTGGTTTTGACTCCTCTCCCCTGGTGTCGCCTCCTCCTCCTTGGTTTTGACTCCTCTCCCCTGGTGTCGCCTCCTCCTCCTTGGTTTTGACTCCTCTCCCCTGGTGTCGCCTCCTCCTCCTTGGTTTTGACTCCTCTCCCCTGGTGTCGCCTCCTCCTCCTTGGTTTTGACTCCTCTCCCTGGTGTCGCCTCCTCCTCCTTGGTTTTGACTCCTCCCTGGTCGCCTCTCTCTGGTTTTGACTCCTCTCCCCTGGTGTCGCCTCCTCCTCCTTGGTTTTGACTCCTCTCCCCTGGTGTCGCCTCCTCCTCCTTGGTTTTGACTCCTCTCCCCTGGTGTCGCCTCCTCCTCCTTGGTTTTGACTCCTCTCCCCTGGTGTCGCCTCCTCCTCCTTGGTTTTGACTCCTCTCCCCTGGTGTCGCCTCCTCCTCCTTGGTTTTGACTCCTCTCCCCTGGTGTCGCCTCCTCCTCCTTGGTTTTGACTCCTCTCCCCTGGTGTCGCCTCCTCCTCCTTGGTTTTGACTCCTCTCCCCTGGTGTCGCCTCCTCCTCCTTGGTTTTGACTCCTCTCCCCTGGTGTCGCCTCCTCCTCCTTGGTTTTGACTCCTCTCCCCTGGTGTCGCCTCCTCCTCCTTGGTTTTGACTCCTCTCCCCTGGTGTCGCCTCCTCCTCCTTGGTTTTGACTCCTCTCCCCTGGTGTCGCCTCCTCCTCCTTGGTTTTGACTCCTCTCCCCTGGTGTCGCCTCCTCCTCCTTGGTTTTGACTCCTCTCCCCTGGTGTCGCCTCCTCCTCCTTGGTTTTGACTCCTCTCCCCTGGTGTCGCCTCCTCCTCCTTGGTTTTGACTCCTCTCCCCTGGTGTCGCCTCCTCCTCCTTGGTTTTGACTCCTCTCCCCTGGTGTCGCCTCCTCCTCCTTGGTTTTGACTCCTCTCCCCTGGTGTCGCCTCCTCCTCCTTGGTTTTGACTCCTCTCCCCTGGTGTCGCCTCCTCCTCCTTGGTTTTGACTCCTCTCCCCTGGTGTCGCCTCCTCCTCCTTGGTTTTGACTCCTCTCCCCTGGTGTCCGCCTCCTCCTCCTTGGTTTGACTCCTCTCCCCTGGTGTCGCCTCCTCCTCCTTGGTTTTGACTCCTCTCCCCTGGTGTCGCCTCCTCCTCCTTGGTTTTGACTCCTCTCCCCTGGTGTCGCCTCCTCCTCCTTGGTTTTGACTCCTCTCCCCTGGTGTCGCCTCCTCCTCTCTTGGTTTTGACTCCTCTCCCCTGGTGTCGCCTCCTCCTCCTTGGTTTTGACTCCTCTCCCCTGGTGTCGCCTCCTCCTCCTTGGTTTTGACTCCTCTCCCCTGGGTGTCGCCTCCTCCTCCTTGGTTTTGACTCCTCTCCCCTGGTGTCGCCTCCTCCTCCTTGGTTTTGACTCCTCTCCCCTGGTGTCGCCTCCTCCTCTTGGTTTTCTCCGTCTCCCCTGGTGTCGCCTCCTCCTCCTTGGTTTTGACTTCCTCTCCCCTGGTGTCGCCTCCTCCTCCTTAGTTTTGACTCCTCTCCCCTGGTGTCGCCTCCTCCTCCTTGGTTTTGACTCCTCTCCCCTGGTGTCGCCTCCTCCTCCCTGGTTTTTGACTCCTCTCCCCTGGTGTCGCCTCCTTCCTCCTCCTTGGTTTTGACTCCTCTCCCCTGGTGTCGCCTCCTCCTCCTTGGTTTTGACTCCTCTCCCCTGGTGTCGCCTCCTCCTCCTTGGTTTTGACTCCTCTCCCCTGGTGTCGCCTCCTCCTCCTTGGTTTTGACTCCTCTCCCCTGGTGTCGCCTCCTCCTCCCTTGGTTTTGACTCCTCTCCCCTGGTGTCGCCTCCTCCTCCTTGGTTTTGACTCCTCTCCCCTGGTGTCGCCTCCTCCTCCTGGTTTTGACTCCTCTCCCCTTGGTGTCGCCTCCTCCTCCTTGGTTTTGACTCCTCTCCCCTGGTGTCGCCTCCTCCTCCTTGGTTTTGACTCCTCTCCCCTGGTGTCGCCTCCTCCTCCTTGGTTTTGACTCCTCTCCCCTGGTGTCGCCTTCCTCCTCCTTGGTTTTGACTCCTCTACCCTGGTGTCGCTCCTCCTCCTTGGTTTTGACTCCTCTCCCCTGGTGTCGCCTCCTCCTCCTTGGTTTGACTCCTCTCCCTGGGGTTCCTCCTCCTCCTTGGTTTTGACTCCTCTCCCTGGTGTCGCCTCCTCCTCCTTGGTTTTGACTCCTCTCCCCTGGTGTCGGCTCCTCCTCCTTGGTTTTGACATCCTCTCCCCTGGTGTCGCCCTCCATCCTCCTTGGTTTTGACTCCTCTCCCCCTGTGTCGCCTCCTCCTCCTTGGTTTGACTCCTCTCCCCCTGGTATCGCCTCCTCCTCCTTGGTTTTGACTCCTCTCCCCTGGTGTCGCCTCCTCCTCCTTGGTTTTGACTCCTCTCCCCCTGGTGTCGCCTCCTCCTCTTGGTTTTGACTCCTCTCCCCTGGTGTCGCCTCTCCTCTCCTTGGTTTTGACTCCTCTCCCCCTGGTGTCGCCTCCTCCTCCTTGGTTTTGACTCCTCTCCCCTGGTGTCGCCTCCTCCTCCTTGGTTTTGACTCCTCTCCCCTGGTGTCGCCTCCTCCTCCCTGGTTTTGACTCCTCTCCCCTGGTGTCGCCTCCTCCTCCTTGGTTTTGACTCCTCTCCCCTGGTGTCGCCTCCTCCTCCTTGGTTTTGACTCCTCTCCCCTGGTGTCGCCTCCTCCTCCTTGGTTTTGACTCCTCTCCCCTGGTGTCGCCTCCTCCTCCTTGGTTTTGACTCCTCTCCCCTGGTGTCGCCTCCTCCTCTTGGTTTTGACTCCTCTCCCCTGGTGTCGCCTCCTCCTCCTTGGTTTTGACTCCTCTCCCCTGGTGTCGCCTCCTCCTCCTTGGTTTTGACTCCTCTCCCCTGGTGTCGCCTCCTCCTCCTTGGTTTTGACTCCTCTCCCCTGGTGTCGCCTCCTCCTCCTTGGTTTTGACTCCTCTCCCCTGGTGTCGCCTCCTCCTCCTTGGTTTTGACTCCTCTCCCCTGGTGTCGCCTCCTCCTCCTTGGTTTTGACTCCTCTCCCCTGGTGTCGCCTCCTCCTCCTTGGTTTTGACTCCTCTCCCCTGGTGTCGCCTCCTCCTCCTTGGTTTTGACTCCTCTCCCCTGGTGTCGCCTCCTCCTCCTTGGTTTTGACTCCTCTCCCCTGGTGTCGCCTCCTCCTCCTTGGTTTTGACTCCTCTCCCCTGGTGTCGCCTCCTCCTCCTTGGTTTTGACTCCTCTCCCCTGGTGTCGCCTCCTCCTCCTTGGTTTTGACTCCTCTCCCCTGGTGTCGCCTCCTCCTCCTTGGTTTTGACTCCTCTCCCCTGGTGTCGCCTCCTCCTCCTTGGTTTTGACTCCTCTCCCCTGGTGTCGCCTCCTCCTCCTTGGTTTTGACTCCTCTCCCCTGGTGTCGCCTCCTCCTCCTTGGTTTTGACTCCTCTCCCCTGGTGTCGCCTCCTCCTCCTTGGTTTTGACTCCTCTCCCCTGGTGTCGCCTCCTCCTCCTTGGTTTTGACTCCTCTCCCCTGGTGTCGCCTCCTCCTCCTTGGTTTTGACTCCTCTCCCTGGTGTCGCCTCCTCCTCCTTGGTTTTGACTCCTCTCCCCTGGTGTCGCCTCCTCCTCCTTGGTTTTGACTCCTCTCCCCTGGTGTCGCTCCTCCTCCCTTGGTTTTGACTCCTATCCCCTGCTGTCGCCTTCCTCTCCTTGGTTTTGACTCCTCTCCCTGGTGTCGCCTCCTCCTCCTCTGGTTTTGACTCCTCTCCCCTCGGTGTCGTCCTCCTCCTCCTTGGTTTGACTCCTCTCCCCTGGTGTCGCCTCCTCCTCCTTGGTTTTGACTCCTCTCCCCTGGTGTCGCCCTCCTCCTTCCTTGGTTTTGACTCCTCACCCCCCCCTCCCCTGGTGTCGCCTCCTCCTCCTTGGTTTTGACTCCTCTCCCCTGGTGTCGCCTCCTCCTCCTTGGTTTTGACTCCTCTCCCCTGGTGTTGGCCTCCTCCCTCCTTGGTTTTGACTCCTCTCCCCTGGTGTCGCCTCCTCCTCCTTGGTTTTGACTCCTCTCCCCTGGTGTCGCCTCCTCCTCCCTTGGTTTTGACTCCTCTCCCCTGGTCTCGCCTCCTCCTCCTTGGTTTGACTCCTCTCCCCTGGTGTCGCCTCCTCCTCCTTGGTTTTGACTCCTCTCCCCTGCGTGTCGCCTTCCTCCTCCTCTTGGTTTTGACCTCCTCTCCCCTGGTGTTCACCTCCTCCTCCTTGGTTTTGACTCCTCTCCCCTGGTGTCGCCCTCCTCCTCCTTGGTTTTGACTCCTCTCCCCTGGTGTCGTCTCCTCCTCCTTGGTTTTGACTCCTCTCCCCTGGTGTCGCCTCCTCCTCCTTGGTTTTGACTCCTCTCCCCTGGTGTCGCCTCCTCCTCCTTGGTTTTGACTCCTCTCCCCTGGTGTCGCCTCCTCCTCCTTGGTTTTGACTCCTCTCCCCTGGTGTCGCCTCCTCCTCCTTGGTTTTGACTCCTCTCCCCTGGTGTCGCCTCCTCCTCCTTGGTTTTGACTCCTCTCCCCTGGTGTCGCCTCCTCCTCCTTGGTTTTGACTCCTCTCCCCTGGTGTCGCCTCCTCCTCCTTGGTTTTGACTCCTCTCCCCTGGTGTCGCCTCCTCCTCCTTGGTTTTGACTCCTCTCCCCTGGTGTCGCCTCCTCCTCCTTGGTTTTGACTCCTCTCCCCTGGTGTCGCCTCCTCCTCCTTGGTTTTGACTCCTCTCCCCTGGTGTCGCCTCCTCCTCCTTGGTTTTGACTCCTCTCCCCTGGTGTCGCCTCCTCCTCCTTGGTTTTGACTCCTCTCCCCTGGTGTCGCCTCCTCCTCCTTGGTTTTGACTCCTCTCCCCTGGTGTCGCCTCCTCCTCCTTGGTTTTGACTCCTCTCCCCTGGTGTCGCCTCCTCCTCCTTGGTTTTGACTCCTCTCCCCTGGTGTCGCCTCCTCCTCCTTGGTTTTGACTCCTCTCCCCTGGTGTCGCCTCCTCCTCCTTGGTTTTGACTCCTCTCCCCTGGTGTCGCCTCCTCCTCCTTGGTTTTGACTCCTCTCCCCTGGTGTCGCCTCCTCCTCCTTGGTTTTGACTCCTCTCCCCTGGTGTCGCCTCCTCCTCCTTGGTTTTGACTCCTCTCCCCTGGTGTCGCCTCCTCCTCCTTGGTTTTGACTCCTCTCCCCTGGTGTCGCCTCCTCCTCCTTGGTTTTGACTCCTCTCCCCTGGTGTCGCCTCCTCCTCCTTGGTTTTGACTCCTCTCCCCTGGTGTCGCCTCCTCCTCCTTGGTTTTGACTCCTCTCCCCTGGTGTCGCCTCCTCCTCCTTGGTTTTGACTCCTCTCCCCTGGTGTCGCCTCCTCCTCCTTGGTTTTGACTCCTCTCCCCTGGTGTCGCCTCCTCCTCCTTGGTTTTGACTCCTCTCCCCTGGTGTCGCCTCCTCCTCCTTGGTTTTGACTCCTCTCCCCTGGTGTCGCCTCCTCCTCCTTGGTTTTGACTCCTCTCCCCTGGTGTCGCCTCCTCCTCCTTGGTTTTGACTCCTCTCCCCTGGTGTCGCCTCCTCCTCCTTGGTTTTGACTCCTCTCCCCTGGTGTCGCCTCCTCCTCCTTGGTTTTGACTCCTCTCCCCTGGTGTCGCCTCCTCCTCCTTGGTTTTGACTCCTCTCCCCTGGTGTCGCCTCCTCCTCCTTGGTTTTGACTCCTCTCCCCTGGTGTCGCCTCCTCCTCCTTGGTTTTGACTCCTCTCCCCTGGTGTCGCCTCCTCCTCCTTGGTTTTGACTCCTCTCCCCTGGTGTCGCCTCCTCCTCCTTGGTTTTGACTCCTCTCCCCTGGTGTCGCCTCCTCCTCCTTGGTTTTGACTCCTCTCCCCTGGTGTCGCCTCCTCCTCCTTGGTTTTGACTCCTCTCCCCTGGTGTCGCCTCCTCCTCCTTGGTTTTGACTCCTCTCCCCTGGTGTCGCCTCCTCCTCCTTGGTTTTGACTCCTCTCCCCTGGTGTCGCCTCCTCCTCCTTGGTTTTGACTCCTCTCCCCTGGTGTCGCCTCCTCCTCCTTGGTTTTGACTCCTCTCCCCTGGTGTCGCCTCCTCCTCCTTGGTTTTGACTCCTCTCCCCTGGTGTCGCCTCCTCCTCCTTGGTTTTGACTCCTCTCCCCTGGTGTCGCCTCCTCCTCCTTGGTTTTGACTCCTCTCCCCTGGTGTCGCCTCCTCCTCCTTGGTTTTGACTCCTCTCCCCTGGTGTCGCCTCCTCCTCCTTGGTTTTGACTCCTCTCCCCTGGTGTCGCCTCCTCCTCCTTGGTTTTGACTCCTCTCCCCTGGTGTCGCCTCCTCCTCCTTGGTTTTGACTCCTCTCCCCTGGTGTCGCCTCCTCCTCCTTGGTTTTGACTCCTCTCCCCTGGTGTCGCCTCCTCCTCCTTGGTTTTGACTCCTCTCCCCTGGTGTCGCCTCCTCCTCCTTGGTTTTGACTCCTCTCCCCTGGTGTCGCCTCCTCCTCCTTGGTTTTGACTCCTCTCCCCTGGTGTCGCCTCCTCCTCCTTGGTTTTGACTCCTCTCCCCTGGTGTCGCCTCCTCCTCCTTGGTTTTGACTCCTCTCCCCTGGTGTCGCCTCCTCCTCCTTGGTTTTGACTCCTCTCCCCTGGTGTCGCCTCCTCCTCCTTGGTTTTGACTCCTCTCCCCTGGTGTCGCCTCCTCCTCCTTGGTTTTGACTCCTCTCCCCTGGTGTCGCCTCCTCCTCCTTGGTTTTGACTCCTCTCCCCTGGTGTCGCCTCCTCCTCCTTGGTTTTGACTCCTCTCCCCTGGTGTCGCCTCCTCCTCCTTGGTTTTGACTCCTCTCCCCTGGTGTCGCCTCCTCCTCCTTGGTTTTGACTCCTCTCCCCTGGTGTCGCCTCCTCCTCCTTGGTTTTGACTCCTCTCCCCTGGTGTCGCCTCCTCCTCCTTGGTTTTGACTCCTCTCCCCTGGTGTCGCCTCCTCCTCCTTGGTTTTGACTCCTCTCCCCTGGTGTCGCCTCCTCCTCCTTGGTTTTGACTCCTCTCCCCTGGTGTCGCCTCCTCCTCCTTGGTTTTGACTCCTCTCCCCTGGTGTCGCCTCCTCCTCCTTGGTTTTGACTCCTCTCCCCTGGTGTCGCCTCCTCCTCCTTGGTTTTGACTCCTCTCCCCTGGTGTCGCCTCCTCCTCCTTGGTTTTGACTCCTCTCCCCTGGTGTCGCCTCCTCCTCCTTGGTTTTGACTCCTCTCCCCTGGTGTCGCCTCCTCCTCCTTGGTTTTGACTCCTCTCCCCTGGTGTCGCCTCCTCCTCCTTGGTTTTGACTCCTCTCCCCTGGTGTCGCCTCCTCCTCCTTGGTTTTGACTCCTCTCCCCTGGTGTCGCCTCCTCCTCCTTGGTTTTGACTCCTCTCCCCTGGTGTCGCCTCCTCCTCCTTGGTTTTGACTCCTCTCCCCTGGTGTCGCCTCCTCCTCCTTGGTTTTGACTCCTCTCCCCTGGTGTCGCCTCCTCCTCCTTGGTTTTGACTCCTCTCCCCTGGTGTCGCCTCCTCCTCCTTGGTTTTGACTCCTCTCCCCTGGTGTCGCCTCCTCCTCCTTGGTTTTGACTCCTCTCCCCTGGTGTCGCCTCCTCCTCCTTGGTTTTGACTCCTCTCCCCTGGTGTCGCCTCCTCCTCCTTGGTTTTGACTCCTCTCCCCTGGTGTCGCCTCCTCCTCCTTGGTTTTGACTCCTCTCCCCTGGTGTCGCCTCCTCCTCCTTGGTTTTGACTCCTCTCCCCTGGTGTCGCCTCCTCCTCCTTGGTTTTGACTCCTCTCCCCTGGTGTCGCCTCCTCCTCCTTGGTTTTGACTCCTCTCCCCTGGTGTCGCCTCCTCCTCCTTGGTTTTGACTCCTCTCCCCTGGTGTCGCCTCCTCCTCCTTGGTTTTGACTCCTCTCCCCTGGTGTCGCCTCCTCCTCCTTGGTTTTGACTCCTCTCCCCTGGTGTCGCCTCCTCCTCCTTGGTTTTGACTCCTCTCCCCTGGTGTCGCCTCCTCCTCCTTGGTTTTGACTCCTCTCCCCTGGTGTCGCCTCCTCCTCCTTGGTTTTGACTCCTCTCCCCTGGTGTCGCCTCCTCCTCCTTGGTTTTGACTCCTCTCCCCTGGTGTCGCCTCCTCCTCCTTGGTTTTGACTCCTCTCCCCTGGTGTCGCCTCCTCCTCCTTGGTTTTGACTCCTCTCCCCTGGTGTCGCCTCCTCCTCCTTGGTTTTGACTCCTCTCCCCTGGTGTCGCCTCCTCCTCCTTGGTTTTGACTCCTCTCCCCTGGTGTCGCCTCCTCCTCCTTGGTTTTGACTCCTCTCCCCTGGTGTCGCCTCCTCCTCCTTGGTTTTGACTCCTCTCCCCTGGTGTCGCCTCCTCCTCCTTGGTTTTGACTCCTCTCCCCTGGTGTCGCCTCCTCCTCCTTGGTTTTGACTCCTCTCCCCTGGTGTCGCCTCCTCCTCCTTGGTTTTGACTCCTCTCCCCTGGTGTCGCCTCCTCCTCCTTGGTTTTGACTCCTCTCCCCTGGTGTCGCCTCCTCCTCCTTGGTTTTGACTCCTCTCCCCTGGTGTCGCCTCCTCCTCCTTGGTTTTGACTCCTCTCCCCTGGTGTCGCCTCCTCCTCCTTGGTTTTGACTCCTCTCCCCTGGTGTCGCCTCCTCCTCCTTGGTTTTGACTCCTCTCCCCTGGTGTCGCCTCCTCCTCCTTGGTTTTGACTCCTCTCCCCTGGTGTCGCCTCCTCCTCCTTGGTTTTGACTCCTCTCCCCTGGTGTCGCCTCCTCCTCCTTGGTTTTGACTCCTCTCCCCTGGTGTCGCCTCCTCCTCCTTGGTTTTGACTCCTCTCCCCTGGTGTCGCCTCCTCCTCCTTGGTTTTGACTCCTCTCCCCTGGTGTCGCCTCCTCCTCCTTGGTTTTGACTCCTCTCCCCTGGTGTCGCCTCCTCCTCCTTGGTTTTGACTCCTCTCCCCTGGTGTCGCCTCCTCCTCCTTGGTTTTGACTCCTCTCCCCTGGTGTCGCCTCCTCCTCCTTGGTTTTGACTCCTCTCCCCTGGTGTCGCCTCCTCCTCCTTGGTTTTGACTCCTCTCCCCTGGTGTCGCCTCCTCCTCCTTGGTTTTGACTCCTCTCCCCTGGTGTCGCCTCCTCCTCCTTGGTTTTGACTCCTCTCCCCTGGTGTCGCCTCCTCCTCCTTGGTTTTGACTCCTCTCCCCTGGTGTCGCCTCCTCCTCCTTGGTTTTGACTCCTCTCCCCTGGTGTCGCCTCCTCCTCCTTGGTTTTGACTCCTCTCCCCTGGTGTCGCCTCCTCCTCCTTGGTTTTGACTCCTCTCCCCTGGTGTCGCCTCCTCCTCCTTGGTTTTGACTCCTCTCCCCTGGTGTCGCCTCCTCCTCCTTGGTTTTGACTCCTCTCCCCTGGTGTCGCCTCCTCCTCCTTGGTTTTGACTCCTCTCCCCTGGTGTCGCCTCCTCCTCCTTGGTTTTGACTCCTCTCCCCTGGTGTCGCCTCCTCCTCCTTGGTTTTGACTCCTCTCCCCTGGTGTCGCCTCCTCCTCCTTGGTTTTGACTCCTCTCCCCTGGTGTCGCCTCCTCCTCCTTGGTTTTGACTCCTCTCCCCTGGTGTCGCCTCCTCCTCCTTGGTTTTGACTCCTCTCCCCTGGTGTCGCCTCCTCCTCCTTGGTTTTGACTCCTCTCCCCTGGTGTCGCCTCCTCCTCCTTGGTTTTGACTCCTCTCCCCTGGTGTCGCCTCCTCCTCCTTGGTTTTGACTCCTCTCCCCTGGTGTCGCCTCCTCCTCCTTGGTTTTGACTCCTCTCCCCTGGTGTCGCCTCCTCCTCCTTGGTTTTGACTCCTCTCCCCTGGTGTCGCCTCCTCCTCCTTGGTTTTGACTCCTCTCCCCTGGTGTCGCCTCCTCCTCCTTGGTTTTGACTCCTCTCCCCTGGTGTCGCCTCCTCCTCCTTGGTTTTGACTCCTCTCCCCTGGTGTCGCCTCCTCCTCCTTGGTTTTGACTCCTCTCCCCTGGTGTCGCCTCCTCCTCCTTGGTTTTGACTCCTCTCCCCTGGTGTCGCCTCCTCCTCCTTGGTTTTGACTCCTCTCCCCTGGTGTCGCCTCCTCCTCCTTGGTTTTGACTCCTCTCCCCTGGTGTCGCCTCCTCCTCCTTGGTTTTGACTCCTCTCCCCTGGTGTCGCCTCCTCCTCCTTGGTTTTGACTCCTCTCCCCTGGTGTCGCCTCCTCCTCCTTGGTTTTGACTCCTCTCCCCTGGTGTCGCCTCCTCCTCCTTGGTTTTGACTCCTCTCCCCTGGTGTCGCCTCCTCCTCCTTGGTTTTGACTCCTCTCCCCTGGTGTCGCCTCCTCCTCCTTGGTTTTGACTCCTCTCCCCTGGTGTCGCCTCCTCCTCCTTGGTTTTGACTCCTCTCCCCTGGTGTCGCCTCCTCCTCCTTGGTTTTGACTCCTCTCCCCTGGTGTCGCCTCCTCCTCCTTGGTTTTGACTCCTCTCCCCTGGTGTCGCCTCCTCCTCCTTGGTTTTGACTCCTCTCCCCTGGTGTCGCCTCCTCCTCCTTGGTTTTGACTCCTCTCCCCTGGTGTCGCCTCCTCCTCCTTGGTTTTGACTCCTCTCCCCTGGTGTCGCCTCCTCCTCCTTGGTTTTGACTCCTCTCCCCTGGTGTCGCCTCCTCCTCCTTGGTTTTGACTCCTCTCCCCTGGTGTCGCCTCCTCCTCCTTGGTTTTGACTCCTCTCCCCTGGTGTCGCCTCCTCCTCCTTGGTTTTGACTCCTCTCCCCTGGTGTCGCCTCCTCCTCCTTGGTTTTGACTCCTCTCCCCTGGTGTCGCCTCCTCCTCCTTGGTTTTGACTCCTCTCCCCTGGTGTCGCCTCCTCCTCCTTGGTTTTGACTCCTCTCCCCTGGTGTCGCCTCCTCCTCCTTGGTTTTGACTCCTCTCCCCTGGTGTCGCCTCCTCCTCCTTGGTTTTGACTCCTCTCCCCTGGTGTCGCCTCCTCCTCCTTGGTTTTGACTCCTCTCCCCTGGTGTCGCCTCCTCCTCCTTGGTTTTGACTCCTCTCCCCTGGTGTCGCCTCCTCCTCCTTGGTTTTGACTCCTCTCCCCTGGTGTCGCCTCCTCCTCCTTGGTTTTGACTCCTCTCCCCTGGTGTCGCCTCCTCCTCCTTGGTTTTGACTCCTCTCCCCTGGTGTCGCCTCCTCCTCCTTGGTTTTGACTCCTCTCCCCTGGTGTCGCCTCCTCCTCCTTGGTTTTGACTCCTCTCCCCTGGTGTCGCCTCCTCCTCCTTGGTTTTGACTCCTCTCCCCTGGTGTCGCCTCCTCCTCCTTGGTTTTGACTCCTCTCCCCTGGTGTCGCCTCCTCCTCCTTGGTTTTGACTCCTCTCCCCTGGTGTCGCCTCCTCCTCCTTGGTTTTGACTCCTCTCCCCTGGTGTCGCCTCCTCCTCCTTGGTTTTGACTCCTCTCCCCTGGTGTCGCCTCCTCCTCCTTGGTTTTGACTCCTCTCCCCTGGTGTCGCCTCCTCCTCCTTGGTTTTGACTCCTCTCCCCTGGTGTCGCCTCCTCCTCCTTGGTTTTGACTCCTCTCCCCTGGTGTCGCCTCCTCCTCCTTGGTTTTGACTCCTCTCCCCTGGTGTCGCCTCCTCCTCCTTGGTTTTGACTCCTCTCCCCTGGTGTCGCCTCCTCCTCCTTGGTTTTGACTCCTCTCCCCTGGTGTCGCCTCCTCCTCCTTGGTTTTGACTCCTCTCCCCTGGTGTCGCCTCCTCCTCCTTGGTTTTGACTCCTCTCCCCTGGTGTCGCCTCCTCCTCCTTGGTTTTGACTCCTCTCCCCTGGTGTCGCCTCCTCCTCCTTGGTTTTGACTCCTCTCCCCTGGTGTCGCCTCCTCCTCCTTGGTTTTGACTCCTCTCCCCTGGTGTCGCCTCCTCCTCCTTGGTTTTGACTCCTCTCCCCTGGTGTCGCCTCCTCCTCCTTGGTTTTGACTCCTCTCCCCTGGTGTCGCCTCCTCCTCCTTGGTTTTGACTCCTCTCCCCTGGTGTCGCCTCCTCCTCCTTGGTTTTGACTCCTCTCCCCTGGTGTCGCCTCCTCCTCCTTGGTTTTGACTCCTCTCCCCTGGTGTCGCCTCCTCCTCCTTGGTTTTGACTCCTCTCCCCTGGTGTCGCCTCCTCCTCCTTGGTTTTGACTCCTCTCCCCTGGTGTCGCCTCCTCCTCCTTGGTTTTGACTCCTCTCCCCTGGTGTCGCCTCCTCCTCCTTGGTTTTGACTCCTCTCCCCTGGTGTCGCCTCCTCCTCCTTGGTTTTGACTCCTCTCCCCTGGTGTCGCCTCCTCCTCCTTGGTTTTGACTCCTCTCCCCTGGTGTCGCCTCCTCCTCCTTGGTTTTGACTCCTCTCCCCTGGTGTCGCCTCCTCCTCCTTGGTTTTGACTCCTCTCCCCTGGTGTCGCCTCCTCCTCCTTGGTTTTGACTCCTCTCCCCTGGTGTCGCCTCCTCCTCCTTGGTTTTGACTCCTCTCCCCTGGTGTCGCCTCCTCCTCCTTGGTTTTGACTCCTCTCCCCTGGTGTCGCCTCCTCCTCCTTGGTTTTGACTCCTCTCCCCTGGTGTCGCCTCCTCCTCCTTGGTTTTGACTCCTCTCCCCTGGTGTCGCCTCCTCCTCCTTGGTTTTGACTCCTCTCCCCTGGTGTCGCCTCCTCCTCCTTGGTTTTGACTCCTCTCCCCTGGTGTCGCCTCCTCCTCCTTGGTTTTGACTCCTCTCCCCTGGTGTCGCCTCCTCCTCCTTGGTTTTGACTCCTCTCCCCTGGTGTCGCCTCCTCCTCCTTGGTTTTGACTCCTCTCCCCTGGTGTCGCCTCCTCCTCCTTGGTTTTGACTCCTCTCCCCTGGTGTCGCCTCCTCCTCCTTGGTTTTGACTCCTCTCCCCTGGTGTCGCCTCCTCCTCCTTGGTTTTGACTCCTCTCCCCTGGTGTCGCCTCCTCCTCCTTGGTTTTGACTCCTCTCCCCTGGTGTCGCCTCCTCCTCCTTGGTTTTGACTCCTCTCCCCTGGTGTCGCCTCCTCCTCCTTGGTTTTGACTCCTCTCCCCTGGTGTCGCCTCCTCCTCCTTGGTTTTGACTCCTCTCCCCTGGTGTCGCCTCCTCCTCCTTGGTTTTGACTCCTCTCCCCTGGTGTCGCCTCCTCCTCCTTGGTTTTGACTCCTCTCCCCTGGTGTCGCCTCCTCCTCCTTGGTTTTGACTCCTCTCCCCTGGTGTCGCCTCCTCCTCCTTGGTTTTGACTCCTCTCCCCTGGTGTCGCCTCCTCCTCCTTGGTTTTGACTCCTCTCCCCTGGTGTCGCCTCCTCCTCCTTGGTTTTGACTCCTCTCCCCTGGTGTCGCCTCCTCCTCCTTGGTTTTGACTCCTCTCCCCTGGTGTCGCCTCCTCCTCCTTGGTTTTGACTCCTCTCCCCTGGTGTCGCCTCCTCCTCCTTGGTTTTGACTCCTCTCCCCTGGTGTCGCCTCCTCCTCCTTGGTTTTGACTCCTCTCCCCTGGTGTCGCCTCCTCCTCCTTGGTTTTGACTCCTCTCCCCTGGTGTCGCCTCCTCCTCCTTGGTTTTGACTCCTCTCCCCTGGTGTCGCCTCCTCCTCCTTGGTTTTGACTCCTCTCCCCTGGTGTCGCCTCCTCCTCCTTGGTTTTGACTCCTCTCCCCTGGTGTCGCCTCCTCCTCCTTGGTTTTGACTCCTCTCCCCTGGTGTCGCCTCCTCCTCCTTGGTTTTGACTCCTCTCCCCTGGTGTCGCCTCCTCCTCCTTGGTTTTGACTCCTCTCCCCTGGTGTCGCCTCCTCCTCCTTGGTTTTGACTCCTCTCCCCTGGTGTCGCCTCCTCCTCCTTGGTTTTGACTCCTCTCCCCTGGTGTCGCCTCCTCCTCCTTGGTTTTGACTCCTCTCCCCTGGTGTCGCCTCCTCCTCCTTGGTTTTGACTCCTCTCCCCTGGTGTCGCCTCCTCCTCCTTGGTTTTGACTCCTCTCCCCTGGTGTCGCCTCCTCCTCCTTGGTTTTGACTCCTCTCCCCTGGTGTCGCCTCCTCCTCCTTGGTTTTGACTCCTCTCCCCTGGTGTCGCCTCCTCCTCCTTGGTTTTGACTCCTCTCCCCTGGTGTCGCCTCCTCCTCCTTGGTTTTGACTCCTCTCCCCTGGTGTCGCCTCCTCCTCCTTGGTTTTGACTCCTCTCCCCTGGTGTCGCCTCCTCCTCCTTGGTTTTGACTCCTCTCCCCTGGTGTCGCCTCCTCCTCCTTGGTTTTGACTCCTCTCCCCTGGTGTCGCCTCCTCCTCCTTGGTTTTGACTCCTCTCCCCTGGTGTCGCCTCCTCCTCCTTGGTTTTGACTCCTCTCCCCTGGTGTCGCCTCCTCCTCCTTGGTTTTGACTCCTCTCCCCTGGTGTCGCCTCCTCCTCCTTGGTTTTGACTCCTCTCCCCTGGTGTCGCCTCCTCCTCCTTGGTTTTGACTCCTCTCCCCTGGTGTCGCCTCCTCCTCCTTGGTTTTGACTCCTCTCCCCTGGTGTCGCCTCCTCCTCCTTGGTTTTGACTCCTCTCCCCTGGTGTCGCCTCCTCCTCCTTGGTTTTGACTCCTCTCCCCTGGTGTCGCCTCCTCCTCCTTGGTTTTGACTCCTCTCCCCTGGTGTCGCCTCCTCCTCCTTGGTTTTGACTCCTCTCCCCTGGTGTCGCCTCCTCCTCCTTGGTTTTGACTCCTCTCCCCTGGTGTCGCCTCCTCCTCCTTGGTTTTGACTCCTCTCCCCTGGTGTCGCCTCCTCCTCCTTGGTTTTGACTCCTCTCCCCTGGTGTCGCCTCCTCCTCCTTGGTTTTGACTCCTCTCCCCTGGTGTCGCCTCCTCCTCCTTGGTTTTGACTCCTCTCCCCTGGTGTCGCCTCCTCCTCCTTGGTTTTGACTCCTCTCCCCTGGTGTCGCCTCCTCCTCCTTGGTTTTGACTCCTCTCCCCTGGTGTCGCCTCCTCCTCCTTGGTTTTGACTCCTCTCCCCTGGTGTCGCCTCCTCCTCCTTGGTTTTGACTCCTCTCCCCTGGTGTCGCCTCCTCCTCCTTGGTTTTGACTCCTCTCCCCTGGTGTCGCCTCCTCCTCCTTGGTTTTGACTCCTCTCCCCTGGTGTCGCCTCCTCCTCCTTGGTTTTGACTCCTCTCCCCTGGTGTCGCCTCCTCCTCCTTGGTTTTGACTCCTCTCCCCTGGTGTCGCCTCCTCCTCCTTGGTTTTGACTCCTCTCCCCTGGTGTCGCCTCCTCCTCCTTGGTTTTGACTCCTCTCCCCTGGTGTCGCCTCCTCCTCCTTGGTTTTGACTCCTCTCCCCTGGTGTCGCCTCCTCCTCCTTGGTTTTGACTCCTCTCCCCTGGTGTCGCCTCCTCCTCCTTGGTTTTGACTCCTCTCCCCTGGTGTCGCCTCCTCCTCCTTGGTTTTGACTCCTCTCCCCTGGTGTCGCCTCCTCCTCCTTGGTTTTGACTCCTCTCCCCTGGTGTCGCCTCCTCCTCCTTGGTTTTGACTCCTCTCCCCTGGTGTCGCCTCCTCCTCCTTGGTTTTGACTCCTCTCCCCTGGTGTCGCCTCCTCCTCCTTGGTTTTGACTCCTCTCCCCTGGTGTCGCCTCCTCCTCCTTGGTTTTGACTCCTCTCCCCTGGTGTCGCCTCCTCCTCCTTGGTTTTGACTCCTCTCCCCTGGTGTCGCCTCCTCCTCCTTGGTTTTGACTCCTCTCCCCTGGTGTCGCCTCCTCCTCCTTGGTTTTGACTCCTCTCCCCTGGTGTCGCCTCCTCCTCCTTGGTTTTGACTCCTCTCCCCTGGTGTCGCCTCCTCCTCCTTGGTTTTGACTCCTCTCCCCTGGTGTCGCCTCCTCCTCCTTGGTTTTGACTCCTCTCCCCTGGTGTCGCCTCCTCCTCCTTGGTTTTGACTCCTCTCCCCTGGTGTCGCCTCCTCCTCCTTGGTTTTGACTCCTCTCCCCTGGTGTCGCCTCCTCCTCCTTGGTTTTGACTCCTCTCCCCTGGTGTCGCCTCCTCCTCCTTGGTTTTGACTCCTCTCCCCTGGTGTCGCCTCCTCCTCCTTGGTTTTGACTCCTCTCCCCTGGTGTCGCCTCCTCCTCCTTGGTTTTGACTCCTCTCCCCTGGTGTCGCCTCCTCCTCCTTGGTTTTGACTCCTCTCCCCTGGTGTCGCCTCCTCCTCCTTGGTTTTGACTCCTCTCCCCTGGTGTCGCCTCCTCCTCCTTGGTTTTGACTCCTCTCCCCTGGTGTCGCCTCCTCCTCCTTGGTTTTGACTCCTCTCCCCTGGTGTCGCCTCCTCCTCCTTGGTTTTGACTCCTCTCCCCTGGTGTCGCCTCCTCCTCCTTGGTTTTGACTCCTCTCCCCTGGTGTCGCCTCCTCCTCCTTGGTTTTGACTCCTCTCCCCTGGTGTCGCCTCCTCCTCCTTGGTTTTGACTCCTCTCCCCTGGTGTCGCCTCCTCCTCCTTGGTTTTGACTCCTCTCCCCTGGTGTCGCCTCCTCCTCCTTGGTTTTGACTCCTCTCCCCTGGTGTCGCCTCCTCCTCCTTGGTTTTGACTCCTCTCCCCTGGTGTCGCCTCCTCCTCCTTGGTTTTGACTCCTCTCCCCTGGTGTCGCCTCCTCCTCCTTGGTTTTGACTCCTCTCCCCTGGTGTCGCCTCCTCCTCCTTGGTTTTGACTCCTCTCCCCTGGTGTCGCCTCCTCCTCCTTGGTTTTGACTCCTCTCCCCTGGTGTCGCCTCCTCCTCCTTGGTTTTGACTCCTCTCCCCTGGTGTCGCCTCCTCCTCCTTGGTTTTGACTCCTCTCCCCTGGTGTCGCCTCCTCCTCCTTGGTTTTGACTCCTCTCCCCTGGTGTCGCCTCCTCCTCCTTGGTTTTGACTCCTCTCCCCTGGTGTCGCCTCCTCCTCCTTGGTTTTGACTCCTCTCCCCTGGTGTCGCCTCCTCCTCCTTGGTTTTGACTCCTCTCCCCTGGTGTCGCCTCCTCCTCCTTGGTTTTGACTCCTCTCCCCTGGTGTCGCCTCCTCCTCCTTGGTTTTGACTCCTCTCCCCTGGTGTCGCCTCCTCCTCCTTGGTTTTGACTCCTCTCCCCTGGTGTCGCCTCCTCCTCCTTGGTTTTGACTCCTCTCCCCTGGTGTCGCCTCCTCCTCCTTGGTTTTGACTCCTCTCCCCTGGTGTCGCCTCCTCCTCCTTGGTTTTGACTCCTCTCCCCTGGTGTCGCCTCCTCCTCCTTGGTTTTGACTCCTCTCCCCTGGTGTCGCCTCCTCCTCCTTGGTTTTGACTCCTCTCCCCTGGTGTCGCCTCCTCCTCCTTGGTTTTGACTCCTCTCCCCTGGTGTCGCCTCCTCCTCCTTGGTTTTGACTCCTCTCCCCTGGTGTCGCCTCCTCCTCCTTGGTTTTGACTCCTCTCCCCTGGTGTCGCCTCCTCCTCCTTGGTTTTGACTCCTCTCCCCTGGTGTCGCCTCCTCCTCCTTGGTTTTGACTCCTCTCCCCTGGTGTCGCCTCCTCCTCCTTGGTTTTGACTCCTCTCCCCTGGTGTCGCCTCCTCCTCCTTGGTTTTGACTCCTCTCCCCTGGTGTCGCCTCCTCCTCCTTGGTTTTGACTCCTCTCCCCTGGTGTCGCCTCCTCCTCCTTGGTTTTGACTCCTCTCCCCTGGTGTCGCCTCCTCCTCCTTGGTTTTGACTCCTCTCCCCTGGTGTCGCCTCCTCCTCCTTGGTTTTGACTCCTCTCCCCTGGTGTCGCCTCCTCCTCCTTGGTTTTGACTCCTCTCCCCTGGTGTCGCCTCCTCCTCCTTGGTTTTGACTCCTCTCCCCTGGTGTCGCCTCCTCCTCCTTGGTTTTGACTCCTCTCCCCTGGTGTCGCCTCCTCCTCCTTGGTTTTGACTCCTCTCCCCTGGTGTCGCCTCCTCCTCCTTGGTTTTGACTCCTCTCCCCTGGTGTCGCCTCCTCCTCCTTGGTTTTGACTCCTCTCCCCTGGTGTCGCCTCCTCCTCCTTGGTTTTGACTCCTCTCCCCTGGTGTCGCCTCCTCCTCCTTGGTTTTGACTCCTCTCCCCTGGTGTCGCCTCCTCCTCCTTGGTTTTGACTCCTCTCCCCTGGTGTCGCCTCCTCCTCCTTGGTTTTGACTCCTCTCCCCTGGTGTCGCCTCCTCCTCCTTGGTTTTGACTCCTCTCCCCTGGTGTCGCCTCCTCCTCCTTGGTTTTGACTCCTCTCCCCTGGTGTCGCCTCCTCCTCCTTGGTTTTGACTCCTCTCCCCTGGTGTCGCCTCCTCCTCCTTGGTTTTGACTCCTCTCCCCTGGTGTCGCCTCCTCCTCCTTGGTTTTGACTCCTCTCCCCTGGTGTCGCCTCCTCCTCCTTGGTTTTGACTCCTCTCCCCTGGTGTCGCCTCCTCCTCCTTGGTTTTGACTCCTCTCCCCTGGTGTCGCCTCCTCCTCCTTGGTTTTGACTCCTCTCCCCTGGTGTCGCCTCCTCCTCCTTGGTTTTGACTCCTCTCCCCTGGTGTCGCCTCCTCCTCCTTGGTTTTGACTCCTCTCCCCTGGTGTCGCCTCCTCCTCCTTGGTTTTGACTCCTCTCCCCTGGTGTCGCCTCCTCCTCCTTGGTTTTGACTCCTCTCCCCTGGTGTCGCCTCCTCCTCCTTGGTTTTGACTCCTCTCCCCTGGTGTCGCCTCCTCCTCCTTGGTTTTGACTCCTCTCCCCTGGTGTCGCCTCCTCCTCCTTGGTTTTGACTCCTCTCCCCTGGTGTCGCCTCCTCCTCCTTGGTTTTGACTCCTCTCCCCTGGTGTCGCCTCCTCCTCCTTGGTTTTGACTCCTCTCCCCTGGTGTCGCCTCCTCCTCCTTGGTTTTGACTCCTCTCCCCTGGTGTCGCCTCCTCCTCCTTGGTTTTGACTCCTCTCCCCTGGTGTCGCCTCCTCCTCCTTGGTTTTGACTCCTCTCCCCTGGTGTCGCCTCCTCCTCCTTGGTTTTGACTCCTCTCCCCTGGTGTCGCCTCCTCCTCCTTGGTTTTGACTCCTCTCCCCTGGTGTCGCCTCCTCCTCCTTGGTTTTGACTCCTCTCCCCTGGTGTCGCCTCCTCCTCCTTGGTTTTGACTCCTCTCCCCTGGTGTCGCCTCCTCCTCCTTGGTTTTGACTCCTCTCCCCTGGTGTCGCCTCCTCCTCCTTGGTTTTGACTCCTCTCCCCTGGTGTCGCCTCCTCCTCCTTGGTTTTGACTCCTCTCCCCTGGTGTCGCCTCCTCCTCCTTGGTTTTGACTCCTCTCCCCTGGTGTCGCCTCCTCCTCCTTGGTTTTGACTCCTCTCCCCTGGTGTCGCCTCCTCCTCCTTGGTTTTGACTCCTCTCCCCTGGTGTCGCCTCCTCCTCCTTGGTTTTGACTCCTCTCCCCTGGTGTCGCCTCCTCCTCCTTGGTTTTGACTCCTCTCCCCTGGTGTCGCCTCCTCCTCCTTGGTTTTGACTCCTCTCCCCTGGTGTCGCCTCCTCCTCCTTGGTTTTGACTCCTCTCCCCTGGTGTCGCCTCCTCCTCCTTGGTTTTGACTCCTCTCCCCTGGTGTCGCCTCCTCCTCCTTGGTTTTGACTCCTCTCCCCTGGTGTCGCCTCCTCCTCCTTGGTTTTGACTCCTCTCCCCTGGTGTCGCCTCCTCCTCCTTGGTTTTGACTCCTCTCCCCTGGTGTCGCCTCCTCCTCCTTGGTTTTGACTCCTCTCCCCTGGTGTCGCCTCCTCCTCCTTGGTTTTGACTCCTCTCCCCTGGTGTCGCCTCCTCCTCCTTGGTTTTGACTCCTCTCCCCTGGTGTCGCCTCCTCCTCCTTGGTTTTGACTCCTCTCCCCTGGTGTCGCCTCCTCCTCCTTGGTTTTGACTCCTCTCCCCTGGTGTCGCCTCCTCCTCCTTGGTTTTGACTCCTCTCCCCTGGTGTCGCCTCCTCCTCCTTGGTTTTGACTCCTCTCCCCTGGTGTCGCCTCCTCCTCCTTGGTTTTGACTCCTCTCCCCTGGTGTCGCCTCCTCCTCCTTGGTTTTGACTCCTCTCCCCTGGTGTCGCCTCCTCCTCCTTGGTTTTGACTCCTCTCCCCTGGTGTCGCCTCCTCCTCCTTGGTTTTGACTCCTCTCCCCTGGTGTCGCCTCCTCCTCCTTGGTTTTGACTCCTCTCCCCTGGTGTCGCCTCCTCCTCCTTGGTTTTGACTCCTCTCCCCTGGTGTCGCCTCCTCCTCCTTGGTTTTGACTCCTCTCCCCTGGTGTCGCCTCCTCCTCCTTGGTTTTGACTCCTCTCCCCTGGTGTCGCCTCCTCCTCCTTGGTTTTGACTCCTCTCCCCTGGTGTCGCCTCCTCCTCCTTGGTTTTGACTCCTCTCCCCTGGTGTCGCCTCCTCCTCCTTGGTTTTGACTCCTCTCCCCTGGTGTCGCCTCCTCCTCCTTGGTTTTGACTCCTCTCCCCTGGTGTCGCCTCCTCCTCCTTGGTTTTGACTCCTCTCCCCTGGTGTCGCCTCCTCCTCCTTGGTTTTGACTCCTCTCCCCTGGTGTCGCCTCCTCCTCCTTGGTTTTGACTCCTCTCCCCTGGTGTCGCCTCCTCCTCCTTGGTTTTGACTCCTCTCCCCTGGTGTCGCCTCCTCCTCCTTGGTTTTGACTCCTCTCCCCTGGTGTCGCCTCCTCCTCCTTGGTTTTGACTCCTCTCCCCTGGTGTCGCCTCCTCCTCCTTGGTTTTGACTCCTCTCCCCTGGTGTCGCCTCCTCCTCCTTGGTTTTGACTCCTCTCCCCTGGTGTCGCCTCCTCCTCCTTGGTTTTGACTCCTCTCCCCTGGTGTCGCCTCCTCCTCCTTGGTTTTGACTCCTCTCCCCTGGTGTCGCCTCCTCCTCCTTGGTTTTGACTCCTCTCCCCTGGTGTCGCCTCCTCCTCCTTGGTTTTGACTCCTCTCCCCTGGTGTCGCCTCCTCCTCCTTGGTTTTGACTCCTCTCCCCTGGTGTCGCCTCCTCCTCCTTGGTTTTGACTCCTCTCCCCTGGTGTCGCCTCCTCCTCCTTGGTTTTGACTCCTCTCCCCTGGTGTCGCCTCCTCCTCCTTGGTTTTGACTCCTCTCCCCTGGTGTCGCCTCCTCCTCCTTGGTTTTGACTCCTCTCCCCTGGTGTCGCCTCCTCCTCCTTGGTTTTGACTCCTCTCCCCTGGTGTCGCCTCCTCCTCCTTGGTTTTGACTCCTCTCCCCTGGTGTCGCCTCCTCCTCCTTGGTTTTGACTCCTCTCCCCTGGTGTCGCCTCCTCCTCCTTGGTTTTGACTCCTCTCCCCTGGTGTCGCCTCCTCCTCCTTGGTTTTGACTCCTCTCCCCTGGTGTCGCCTCCTCCTCCTTGGTTTTGACTCCTCTCCCCTGGTGTCGCCTCCTCCTCCTTGGTTTTGACTCCTCTCCCCTGGTGTCGCCTCCTCCTCCTTGGTTTTGACTCCTCTCCCCTGGTGTCGCCTCCTCCTCCTTGGTTTTGACTCCTCTCCCCTGGTGTCGCCTCCTCCTCCTTGGTTTTGACTCCTCTCCCCTGGTGTCGCCTCCTCCTCCTTGGTTTTGACTCCTCTCCCCTGGTGTCGCCTCCTCCTCCTTGGTTTTGACTCCTCTCCCCTGGTGTCGCCTCCTCCTCCTTGGTTTTGACTCCTCTCCCCTGGTGTCGCCTCCTCCTCCTTGGTTTTGACTCCTCTCCCCTGGTGTCGCCTCCTCCTCCTTGGTTTTGACTCCTCTCCCCTGGTGTCGCCTCCTCCTCCTTGGTTTTGACTCCTCTCCCCTGGTGTCGCCTCCTCCTCCTTGGTTTTGACTCCTCTCCCCTGGTGTCGCCTCCTCCTCCTTGGTTTTGACTCCTCTCCCCTGGTGTCGCCTCCTCCTCCTTGGTTTTGACTCCTCTCCCCTGGTGTCGCCTCCTCCTCCTTGGTTTTGACTCCTCTCCCCTGGTGTCGCCTCCTCCTCCTTGGTTTTGACTCCTCTCCCCTGGTGTCGCCTCCTCCTCCTTGGTTTTGACTCCTCTCCCCTGGTGTCGCCTCCTCCTCCTTGGTTTTGACTCCTCTCCCCTGGTGTCGCCTCCTCCTCCTTGGTTTTGACTCCTCTCCCCTGGTGTCGCCTCCTCCTCCTTGGTTTTGACTCCTCTCCCCTGGTGTCGCCTCCTCCTCCTTGGTTTTGACTCCTCTCCCCTGGTGTCGCCTCCTCCTCCTTGGTTTTGACTCCTCTCCCCTGGTGTCGCCTCCTCCTCCTTGGTTTTGACTCCTCTCCCCTGGTGTCGCCTCCTCCTCCTTGGTTTTGACTCCTCTCCCCTGGTGTCGCCTCCTCCTCCTTGGTTTTGACTCCTCTCCCCTGGTGTCGCCTCCTCCTCCTTGGTTTTGACTCCTCTCCCCTGGTGTCGCCTCCTCCTCCTTGGTTTTGACTCCTCTCCCCTGGTGTCGCCTCCTCCTCCTTGGTTTTGACTCCTCTCCCCTGGTGTCGCCTCCTCCTCCTTGGTTTTGACTCCTCTCCCCTGGTGTCGCCTCCTCCTCCTTGGTTTTGACTCCTCTCCCCTGGTGTCGCCTCCTCCTCCTTGGTTTTGACTCCTCTCCCCTGGTGTCGCCTCCTCCTCCTTGGTTTTGACTCCTCTCCCCTGGTGTCGCCTCCTCCTCCTTGGTTTTGACTCCTCTCCCCTGGTGTCGCCTCCTCCTCCTTGGTTTTGACTCCTCTCCCCTGGTGTCGCCTCCTCCTCCTTGGTTTTGACTCCTCTCCCCTGGTGTCGCCTCCTCCTCCTTGGTTTTGACTCCTCTCCCCTGGTGTCGCCTCCTCCTCCTTGGTTTTGACTCCTCTCCCCTGGTGTCGCCTCCTCCTCCTTGGTTTTGACTCCTCTCCCCTGGTGTCGCCTCCTCCTCCTTGGTTTTGACTCCTCTCCCCTGGTGTCGCCTCCTCCTCCTTGGTTTTGACTCCTCTCCCCTGGTGTCGCCTCCTCCTCCTTGGTTTTGACTCCTCTCCCCTGGTGTCGCCTCCTCCTCCTTGGTTTTGACTCCTCTCCCCTGGTGTCGCCTCCTCCTCCTTGGTTTTGACTCCTCTCCCCTGGTGTCGCCTCCTCCTCCTTGGTTTTGACTCCTCTCCCCTGGTGTCGCCTCCTCCTCCTTGGTTTTGACTCCTCTCCCCTGGTGTCGCCTCCTCCTCCTTGGTTTTGACTCCTCTCCCCTGGTGTCGCCTCCTCCTCCTTGGTTTTGACTCCTCTCCCCTGGTGTCGCCTCCTCCTCCTTGGTTTTGACTCCTCTCCCCTGGTGTCGCCTCCTCCTCCTTGGTTTTGACTCCTCTCCCCTGGTGTCGCCTCCTCCTCCTTGGTTTTGACTCCTCTCCCCTGGTGTCGCCTCCTCCTCCTTGGTTTTGACTCCTCTCCCCTGGTGTCGCCTCCTCCTCCTTGGTTTTGACTCCTCTCCCCTGGTGTCGCCTCCTCCTCCTTGGTTTTGACTCCTCTCCCCTGGTGTCGCCTCCTCCTCCTTGGTTTTGACTCCTCTCCCCTGGTGTCGCTCCTCCTCCTTGGTTTTGACTCCTCTCCCCCTGGTGTCGCCTCCTCCTCCTTGGTTTGGACTCCTCTCCCCTGGTGTCGCCTCCTCCTCCTCCTTGGTTTTTGACTACTCTCCCCTGGTGTCGCCTCCTCCTCCCTTGGTTTTTGACTCCTCTCCCTGGTGTCGCCTCCTCCTCCTTGGTTTTTGACTCCTCTCCCCTGGTGTTCGCCTCCTCCTCCTTGGTTTTTTGACTTCTCTCTCCCCTGGTGTCGCCTCCCTCCCTCCTGGTTTTGACTCCTCTCCCCTGGTGTCGCCTCCATCCTCCTTGGTTTTGACTCCTCTCCCCTGGTGTCGCCTCCTCCTCCTTGGTTTTGACTCCTCTCCCCTGGGTCGCCTCCTCCTCCTTGGTTTTGACTCCTCTCCCCTGGTGTCGCCTCCTCCTCCTTGGTTTGACTCCTCTCCCCTGGTGTCGCCTCCTCCTCCTTGGTTTTGACTCCTCTCCCCTGTGTCGCCTCCTCCTCCTTGGTTTTGACTCCTCTCCCCTGGTGTCGCCTCCTCCTCCTTGGTTTTGACTCCTCTCCCCTGGTGTCGCCTCCTCCTCCTGGTTTTGACTCCTCTCCCCTGGTGTCGCCTCCTCCTCCTTGGTTTTGACTCCTCTCCCCTGGTGTCGCCTCCTCCTCCTTGGTTTTGACTCCCTCTCCCCTGGTGTCTGCCTCCTACTCCTGGTTTTACTCCTCTCCCCTGGTGTCGCCTCCTCCTCCTTGGTTTTGACTCCTCTCCCATGGTGTCGCCTCCTCCTCCTTGGTTTTGACTCCTCTCCCCTGGTGTCGCCTCCTCCTCCTTGGTTTTTGACTCCTCATCCCCTGGTGTCGCCTCCTCCTCCCTTGGTTTTGGACTCCTCTCCCCTGGTGGTCGCCTCTCTCTTGGTTTTGACTCCTCTTCCCCTGGGTCGCCTCCTCCTCCTTGGTTTTTGACTCCTCTCCCCTGGTGTCGCCTCCTCCTCCTTGGTTTTGACTCCTCTCCCCTGGTGTCGCCTCCTCCTCCTTGGTTTTGACTCCTCTCCCCTGGTGTCGCCTCCTCCTCCTTGGTTTTGACTCCTCTCCCCTGGTGTCGCCTCCTCCTCCTTGGTGTTTGGACTCCTCTCCCCTGGTGTCGCCTCCTCCTCCTTGGTTTTGACTCCTCTCCCTGGTGTCGCCTCCTCCTCCTTGGTTTTGACTCTCTCCCCTGGTGTCGCCTCTCCTCCTTGGTTTTGACTCCTCTCCCCTGGTGTCGCCTCCTCCTCCTTGGTTTTGACTCCTCTCCCTGGTGTCGCCTCCTCCTCCTTGGTTTTGACTCCTCTCCCCTGGTGTCGCCTCCTCCTCCTTGGTTTTGACTCCTCTCCCTTGGGGTTTTTTTGGTCGCCTCCTCCCTCCTTGGTTTTGACTCCTCTCCCCTGGGTTCGCCTCCTCCTCCTTGGTTTTGACTCCTCTCCCCTGGTGTCGCCTCCTCCTCCTTGGTTTTGACTCCTCTCCCCTGGTGTCGCCTCCTCCTCCTTGGTTTTGACTCCTCTCCCCTGGTGTCGCCTCCTCCTCCTTGGTTTTGACTCCTCTCCCCTGGTGTCGCCTCCTCCTCCTTGGTTTTGACTCCTCTCCCCTGGTGTCGCCTCCTCCTCCTTGGTTTTGACTCCTCTCCCCTGGTCGTCGCCTCCTCCTCCTTGGTTTTGACTCCTCTCCCCTGGTGTCGCCTCTCCTCCCTGGTTTTGACTCCTCTCCCCTGGTGTCGCCTCCTCCTCCTGGTTTTGACTCCTCTCCCCTGGTGTCGCCTCCTCCTCCTTGGTTTTGACTCCTCTCCCCTGGTGTCGCCTCCTCCTCCTTGGTTTTGACTCCTCTCCCTGGTGTCGCCTCCTCCTCCTTGGTTTTGACTCCTCTCCCCTGGTGTCGCCTCCTCCTCCTTGGTTTTGACTCCTCTCCCCTGGTGTCGCCTCCTCCTCCTTGGTTTTGACTCCTCTCCCCTGGTGTCGCCTCCTCCTCCTTGGTTTTGACTCCTCTCCCCTGGTGTCGCCTCCTCCTCCTTGGTTTTGACTCCCTCTCCCCTGGTGTCACCTCCTCCTCCTGGTTTTGACTCCTCCTCCCCTTGGTGTCGCCTCCTCCTCCTTGGTTTTGACTCCTCTCCCCTGGTGTCGGCCTCCTCCTCCTTTGGTTTGACTCCTCTCCCCTGGTGTCGCCTCCTCCTCCTTGGTTTGACTCCTCTCCCCTGGTGTCGCCCTCCTCCTCCTTGGTTTTGACTCCTCTCCCCTGGTGTCGCCTCCTCCTCTTGGTTTTGACTCCTCTCCCCTGGTGTCGCCTCCTCCTCCTTGGTTTTGACTCCTCTCCCCTGGTGTCGCCTCCTCCTCCTTGGTTTTGACTCCTCTCCCCTGGTGTCGCCTCCTCCTCCTTGGTTTTGACTCCTCTCCCCTGGTGTCGCCTCCTCCTCCTTGGTTTTGACTCCTCTCCCCTGGTGTCGCCTCCTCCTCCTTGGTTTTGACTCCTCTCCCCTGGTGTCGCCTCCTCCTCCTTGGTTTTGACTCCTCTCCCCTGGTGTCGCCTCCTCCTCCTTGGTTTTGACTCCTCTCCCCTGGTGTCGCCTCCTCCTCCTTGGTTTTGACTCCTCTCCCCTGGTGTCGCCTCCTCCTCCTTGGTTTTGACTCCTCTCCCCTGGTGTCGCCTCCTCCTCCTTGGTTTTGACTCCTCTCCCCTGGTGTCGCCTCCTCCTCCTTGGTTTTGACTCCTCTCCCCTGGTGTCGCCTCCTCCTCCTTGGTTTTGACTCCTCTCCCCTGGTGTCGCCTCCTCCTCCTTGGTTTTGACTCCTCTCCCCTGGTGTCGCCTCCTCCTCCTTGGTTTTGACTCCTCTCCCCTGGTGTCGCCTCCTCCTCCTTGGTTTTGACTCCTCTCCCCTGGTGTCGCCTCCTCCTCCTTGGTTTTGACTCCTCTCCCCTGGTGTCGCCTCCTCCTCCTTGGTTTTTGACTCCTCTCCCCTGTGTCGCCTCCTCCTCCTTGGTTTTGACTCCTCTCCCCTGGTGTCGCCTCCTCCTCCTTGGTTTGACTCCTCTCCCCTGGTGTCGCCTCCTCCTCCTTGGTTTTGACTCCTCTCCCCTGGTGTCGCCTCCTCCTCCTTGGTTTGACTCCTCTCCCCTGGTGTTGCCTCCTCCTCCTTGGTTTTGACTCCTCTCCCCTGGTGTCGCCTCCTCCTCCTTGTTTTTGATCCTCTCCCCTGGTGTCGCCTCCTCCTCCTTGGTTTTGACTCCTCTCCCCTTGGTGTTCGCCTCCTCCTCCTTGGTTTTGACTCCTCTCCCCTGGTGTCGCCTCCTCCCCTTGGTTTTGACTCCTCTCCCCTGGTGTCGCCTCCTCCTCCTTGGTTTGACTCCTCTCCCCTGGTGTCGCCTCCTCCTCCTTGGTTTGTGACTCCTCTCCCCTGGTGGTCGCCTCCTCCTCCTTGGTTTTGACTCCTCTCCCCTGGTGTCGCCTCCTCCTCCTTGGTTTTGACTCCTCTCCCCTGGTGTCGCCTCCTCCTCCTTGGTTTTGACTCCTCTCCCCTGGTGTCGCCTCCTCCTCCTTGGTTTTGACTCCTCTCCCCTGGTGTCGCCTCCTCCTCCTTGGTTTTGACTCCTCTCCCCTGGTGTCGCCTCCTCCTCCTTGGTTTTGACTCCTCTCCCCTGGTGTCGCCTCCTCCTCCTTGGTTTTGACTCCTCTCCCCTGGTGTCGCCTCCTCCTCCTTGGTTTTGACTCCTCTCCCCTGGTGTCGCCTCCTCCTCCTTGGTTTTGACTCCTCTCCCCTGGTGTCGCCTCCTCCTCCTTGGTTTTGACTCCTCTCCCCTGGTGTCGCCTCCTCCTCCTTGGTTTTGACTCCTCTCCCCTGGTGTCGCCTCCTCCTCCTTGGTTTTGACTCCTCTCCCCTGGTGTCGCCTCCTCCTCCTTGGTTTTGACTCCTCTCCCCTGGTGTCGCCTCCTCCTCCTTGGTTTTGACTCCTCTCCCCTGGTTGTCGCCTCCTCCTCCTTGGTTTTGACTCCTCTCCCCTGGTGTCGCCTCCTCCTCCTTGGTTTTGACTCCTCTCCCCTGGTGTCGCCTCCTCCTCCTTGGTTTTGACTCCTCTCCCCTGGTGTCGCTCCTCCTCCTTGGTTTTGACTCCTCTCCCCTGGTGTCGCCTCCTCCTCCTTGGTTTTGACTCCTCTCCCCTGGTGTCGCCTCCTCCTCCTTGGTTTTGACTCCTCTCCCCTGGTGTCGCCTCCTCCTCCTTGGTTTTGACTCCTCTCCCCTGGTGTCGCCTCCTCCTCCTTGGTTTTGACTCCTCTCCCCTGGTGTCGCCTCCTCCTCCTTGGTTTTGACTCCTCTCCCCTGGTGTCGCCTCCTCCTCCTTGGTTTTGACTCCTCTCCCCTGTGTCGCCTCCTCCTCCTTGGTTTTGACTCCTCTCCCCTGGTGTCGCTCCTCCTCCTTGGTTTTGACTCCTCTCCCCTGGTGTCGCCTCCCTCCTCCTTGGTTTTGACTCCTCTCCCCTGGTGTCGCCTCCTCCTCCTTGGTTTTGACTCCTCTCCCCTGGTGTCGCCTCCTCCTCCTTGGTTTTGACTCCTCTCCCCTGGTCTGTCGCCTCCTCCTCCTTGGTTTTGACTCCTCTCCCCTGGTGTCGCCTCCTCCTCCTTGGTTTTGACTCCTCTCCCCTGGTGTCGCCTCCTCCTCCTTGGTTTTGACTCCTCTCCCCTGGTGTCGCCTCCTCCTCCTTGGTTTTGACTCCTCTCCCTGGTGTCGCCTCCTCCTCCTTGGTTTTGACTCCTCTCCCCTGGTGTCGCCTCCTCCTCCTTGGTTTTGACTCCTCTCCCCTGGTGTCGCCTCCTCCTCCTTGGTTTTGACTCCTCTCCCCTGGTGTCGCCCTCCTCCTCCTTGGTTTTGACTCCTCTCCCCTGGTGTCGCCTCCTCCTCCTTGGTTTTGACTCCTCTCCCCTGGTGTCGCCTCTCCTCCTTGGTTTTGACTCCTCTCCCCTGGTGTCGCCTCCTCCTCCTTGGTTTTTGACTCCTCTCCCCTGGTGTCGCCTCCTCCTCCTTGGTTTTGACTCCTCTCCCCTGGTGTCGCCTCCTCCTCCTTGGTTTTGACTCCTCTCCCCTGGTGTCGCCTCCTCCTCCTTGGTTTTGACTCCTCTCCCCTGGTGTCGCCTCCTCCTCCTTGGTTTTGACTCCTCTCCCCTGGTGTCGCCTCCTCCTCCTTGGTTTTGACTCCTCTCCCCTGGTGTCGCCTCCTCCTCCTTGGTTTTGACTCCTCTCCCCTGGTGTCGCCTCCTCCTCCTTGGTTTTGACTCCTCTCCCCTGGTGTCGCCTCCTCCTCCTTGGTTTTGACTCCTCTCCCCTGGTGTCGCCTCCTCCTCCTTGGTTTTGACTCCTCTCCCCTGGTGTCGCCTCCTCCTCCTTGGTTTTGACTCCTCTCCCCTGGTGTCGCCTCCTCCTCCTTGGTTTTGACTCCTCTCCCCTGGTGTCGCCTCCTCCTCCTTGGTTTTGACTCCTCTCCCCTGGTGTCGCCTCCTCCTCCTTGGTTTTGACTCCTCTCCCCTGGTGTCGCCTCCTCCTCCTTGGTTTTGACTCCTCTCCCCTGGTGTCGCCTCCTCCTCCTTGGTTTTGACTCCTCTCCCCTGGTGTCGCCTCCTCCTCCTTGGTTTTGACTCCTCTCCCCTGGTGTCGCCTCCTCCTCCTTGGTTTTGACTCCTCTCCCCTGGTGTCGCCTCCTCCTCCTTGGTTTTGACTCCTCTCCCCTGGTGTCGCCTCCTCCTCCTTGGTTTTGACTCCTCTCCCCTGGTGTCGCCTCCTCCTCCTTGGTTTTGACTCCTCTCCCCTGGTGTCGCCTCCTCCTCCTTGGTTTTGACTCCTCTCCCCTGGTGTCGCCTCCTCCTCCTTGGTTTTGACTCCTCTCCCCTGGTGTCGCCTCCTCCTCCTTGGTTTTGACTCCTCTCCCCTGGTGTCGCCTCCTCCTCCTTGGTTTTGACTCCTCTCCCCTGGTGTCGCCTCCTCCTCCTTGGTTTTGACTCCTCTCCCCTGGTGTCGCCTCCTCCTCCTTGGTTTTGACTCCTCTCCCCTGGTGTCGCCTCCTCCTCCTTGGTTTTGACCTCTCCCATGGGTCGTCCTCCTCCTCCTTGGTTTTGACCTCCTCTCCCCTGGTGTCGCCTCCTCCTCCTTGGTTTTGACTCCTCTCCCCTGGTGTCGCCTCCTCCTCCTTGGTTTTGACTCCTCTCCCCTGGTGTCGCCTCCTCCTCCTTGGTTTTGACTCCTCTCCCCTGGTGTCGCCTCCTCCTCCTTGGTTTTGACTCCTCTCCCCTGGTGTCGCCTCCTCCTCCTTGGTTTTGACTCCTCTCCCCTGGTGTCGCTCCTCCTCCTTGGTTTTGACTCCTCTCCCCTGGTGTCGCCTCCTCCTCCTTGGTTTTGACTCCTCTCCCCTGGTGTCGCCTCCTCCTCCTTGGTTTTGACTCCTCTCCCCTGGTGTCGCCTCCTCCTCCTTGGTTTTGACTCCTCTCCCCTGGTGTCGCCTCCTCCTCCTTGGTTTTGACTCCTCTCCCCTGGTGGTCGCCTCCTCCTCCTTGGTTTTGACTCCTCTCCCTGTGTGTCGCCTCCTCCTCCTTGGTTTTGACTCCTCTCCCCTGGTGTCGCCTCCTCCTCCTTGGTTTTGACTCCTCTCCCCTGGTGGTCGCCTCCTCCTCCTTGGTTTTGACTCCTCTCCCTGGTGTCGCCTCCTCCTCCTTGGTTTTTGACTCCTCTCCCCTGGTGTCGGCCTCCTTCCTCCTTGGTTTTGACTCCTCTCCCCTGGTGTCGCCTCCTCCTCCTTGGTTTTGACTCCTCTCCCCTGGTGTCGCGCTCCTCCTCCTTGGTTTTGACTCCTCATCCCCTGGTGTGCCTCCTCCTCCTTGGTTTTGACTCCTCTCCCCTGGTGTCGCCTCCTCCTCCTTGTTTTGACTCCTCTCCCTGGTGTCGCCTCCTCCTTGGTTTTGACTCCTCTCCCCTAGGTGTCGCCTCCTCTCCTTGGTTTCTGACTCCTCTCCCCTGGTGTCGCCTCCTCCTCCCTTGGTTTTGACCTCTCTCCCCTGGTGCGCCTCTACTCCTTGTTTTTGACTCCTCTCCCCTGGTGTCGCCTCCTCCTCCTTGGTTTTGACTCCTCTCCCCTGGTGTCGCCTCCTCCTCCTTGTTTTGACTCCTCTCCCCTGGTGTCGCCTCCTCCTCCTTGGTTTTGACTCCTCTCCCCTGGTGTCGCCTCCTCCTCCTTGGTTTTGACTCCTCTCCCCTGGTGTCGCCTCCTCCTCCTTGGTTTTGACTCCTCTCCCCTGGTGTCGCCTCCTCCTCCTTGGTTTTTTACTCCTCTCCCCTGGTGTCGCCTCCTCCTCCTTGGTTTTGACTCCTCTCCCCTGGTGTCGCCTCCTCCTCCTTGGTTTTGACTCCTCTCCCTAGGTGTCGCCTCCTCCTCCTTGGTTTTGGACTCCCTCTCCCCTGGTGTCGCCTCCTCCTCCTTGGTTTTGACTCCTCTCCCCTGTGTCGCCTCCCTCCTCCTTGGTTTTGACTCCTCTCCCCTGGTGTCAGCCTCCTCCTCCTTGGTTTTGACTCCTCTCCCTGGTGTTCGCCTCCTCCTCCTTGGTTTTGACTCCTCATCCCTGGTCTCGCCTCCTCCTCTGGTACTCCTCCCTTCCTGGTCTCGCCTCCTCCTCCTTGGTTTTGACTCCTCTCCCCTGGTGTCGCCTCCTCCTCCTTGGTTTTGACTCCTCTCCCCTGGTGTCGCCTCCATCCTCCTCCTTGGTTTTGACTCCTCTCCCCTGGTGTCGCCTCCTCCTCCTTGGTTTTGACTCCTCTCCCCTGGTGTCGCCTCCTCCTCCTTGGTTTTGACTCCTCTCCCCTGGTGTCGCCTCCTCCTCCTTGGTTTTGACTCCTCTCCCCTGGTGTCGCCTCCTCCTCCTTGGTTTTGACTCCTCTCCCCTGGTGTCGCCTCCTCCTCCTTGGTTTTGACTCCTCTCCCCTGGTGTCGCCTCCTCCTCCTTGGTTTTGACTCCTCTCCCCTGGTGTCGCCTCCTCCTCCTTGGTTTTGACTCCTCTCCCCTGGTGTCGCCTCCTCCTCCTTGGTTTTGACTCCTCTCCCCTGGTGTCGCCTCCTCCTCCTTGGTTTTGACTCCTCTCCCCTGGTGTCGCCTCCTCCTCCTTGGTTTTGACTCCTCTCCCCTGGTGTCGCCTCCTCCCTCCTTGGTTTTGACTCCTCTCCCCTGGTGTCGCCTCCTCCTCCTTGGTTTTGACTCCTCTCCCCTGGTGTCGCCTCCTCCTCCTTGGTTTTGACTCCTCTCCCCTGGTGTCGCCTCCCTCCTCCTTGGTTTTTGACTCCTCTCCCCTGGTGTCGCCTCCTCCTCCTTGGTTTTGACTCCTCTCCCCTGGTGTCGCCTCCTCCTCCTTGGTTTTGACTCCTCTCCCCTGGTGGTCGCCTCCTCCTCCTTGGTTTTGACTCCTCTCCCCTGGTGTCGCCTCCTCCTCCTTGGTTTTTGACTCCTCTCCCCTGGTGTCGCCTCCTCCTCCTTGGTTTTGACTCCTCTCCCCTGGTGTCGCCTCCTCCTCCTTGGTTTTGACTCCTCTCCCCTGGTGTCGCCTCCTCCTCCTTGGTTTTGACTCCTCTCCCTAGGTGTCGCCTCCTCCTCCTTGGTTTTGACTCCTCTCCCCTGGTGTCGCCTCCTCCTCCTTGGTTTTGACTCCTCTCCCCTGATGTCGCCTCCTCCTCCTTGGTTTTTGACTCCTCTCCCTGGTGTCGCCTCTCCTCCTTGGTTTGACTCCTCTCCCCTGGTGTCGCCTCCTCCTCCTTGGTTTTGACTCCTCTCCCCTGGTGGCGCCTCCTCCTCCTTGGTTTTGACTCCTCTCCCTGGTGTCGCCTCCTCCTCCTTGGTTTTGACTCCTCTCCCCTGGTGTCGCCTCCTCCTCCTTGGTTTTTACTCCTCTCCCCTGGTGTCGCCTCCTCCTCCTTGGTTTTGACTCCTCTCCCCTGGTGTCGCCTCCTCCTCCTTGGTTTTGACTCCTCTCCCCTGGTGTCGCCTCCTCCTCCTTGGTTTTGACTCCTCTCCCCTGGTGTCGCCTCCTCCTCCTTGGTTTTGACTCCTCTCCCCTGGTGTCGCCTCCTCCTCCTTGGTTTTGACTCCTCTCCCCTGGTGTCGCCTCCTCCTCCTTGGTTTTGACTCCTCTCCCCTGGTGTCGCCTCCTCCTCCTTGGTTTTGACTCCTCTCCCCTGGTGGCGCCTCCTCCTCCTTGGTTTTGACTCCTCTCCCCTGGTGTCGCCTCCTCCTCCTTGGTTTTGACTCCTCTCCCCTGGTGTCGCCTCCTCCTCCTTGGTTTTGACTCCTCTCCCCTGGTGTCGCCTCCTCCTCCTTGGTTTTGACTCCTCTCCCCTGGTGTCGCCTCCTCCTCCTTGGTTTTGACTCCTCTCCCCTGGTGTCGCCTCCTCCTCCTTGGTTTTGACTCCTCTCCCCTGGTGTCGCCTCCTCCTCCTTGGTTTTGACTCCTCTCCCCTGGTGTCGCCTCCTCCTCCTTGGTTTTGACTCCTCTCCCCTGGTGTCGCCTCCTCCTCCTTGGTTTTGACTCCTCTCCCCTGGTGTCGCCTCCTCCTCCTTGGTTTTGACTCCTCTCCCCTGGTGTCGCCTCCTCCTCCTTGGTTTTGACTCCTCTCCCCTGGTGTCGCCTCCTCCTCCTTGGTTTTGACTCCTCTCCCCTGGTGTCGCCTCCTCCTCCTTGGTTTTGACTCCTCTCCCCTGGTGTCGCCTCCTCCTCCTTGGTTTTGACTCCTCTCCCCTGGTGTCGCCTCCTCCTCCTTGGTTTTGACTCCTCTCCCCTGGTGTCGCCTCCTCCTCCTTGGTTTTGACTCCTCTCCCCTGGTGTCGCCTCCTCCTCCTTGGTTTTGACTCCTCTCCCCTGGTGTCGCCTCCTCCTCCTTGGTTTTGACTCCTCTCCCCTGGTGTCGCCTCCTCCTCCTTGGTTTTGACTCCTCTCCCCTGGTGTCGCCTCCTCCTCCTTGGTTTTGACTCCTCTCCCCTGGTGTCGCCTCCTCCTCCTTGGTTTTGACTCCTCTCCCCTGGTGTCGCCTCCTCCTCCTTGGTTTTGACTCCTCTCCCCTGGTGTCGCCTCCTCCTCCTTGGTTTTGACTCCTCTCCCCTGGTGTCGCCTCCTCCTCCTTGGTTTTGACTCCTCTCCCCTGGTGTCGCCTCCTCCTCCTTGGTTTTGACTCCTCTCCCCTGGTGTCGCCTCCTCCTCCTTGGTTTTGACTCCTCTCCCCTGGTGTCGCCTCCTCCTCCTTGGTTTTGACTCCTCTCCCCTGGTGTCGCCTCCTCCTCCTTGGTTTTGACTCCTCTCCCCTGGTGTCGCCTCCTCCTCCTTGGTTTTGACTCCTCTCCCCTGGTGTCGCCTCCTCCTCCTTGGTTTTGACTCCTCTCCCCTGGTGTCGCCTCCTCCTCCTTGGTTTTGACTCCTCTCCCCCTGGTGTCGCCTCCTCCTCCTTGGTTTTGACTCCTCTCCCCTGGTGTCGCCTCCTCCTCCTTGGTTTTGACTCCTCTCCCCTGGTGTCGCCTCCTCCTCCTTGGTTTTGACTCCTCTCCCCTGGTGTCGCCTCCTCCTCCTTGGTTTTGACTCCTCTCCCCTGGTGTCGCCTCCTCCTCCTTGGTTTTGACTCCTCTCCCCTGGTGTCGCCTCCTCCTCCTTGGTTTTGACTCCTCTCCCCTGGTGTCGCCTCCTCCTCCTTGGTTTTGACTCCTCTCCCCTGGTGTCGCCTCCTCCTCCTTGGTTTTGACTCCTCTCCCCTGGTGTCGCCTCCTCCTCCTTGGTTTTGACTCCTCTCCCCTGGTGTCGCCTCCTCCTCCTTGGTTTTGACTCCTCTCCCCTGGTGTCGCCTCCTCCTCCTTGGTTTTGACTCCTCTCCCCTGGTGTCGCCTCCTCCTCCTTGGTTTTGACTCCTCTCCCCTGGTGTCGCCTCCTCCTCCTTGGTTTTGACTCCTCTCCCCTGGTGTCGCCTCCTCCTCCTTGGTTTTGACTCCTCTCCCCTGGTGTCGCCTCCTCCTCCTTGGTTTTGACTCCTCTCCCCTGGTGTCGCCTCCTCCTCCTTGGTTTTGACTCCTCTCCCCTGGTGTCGCCTCCTCCTCCTTGGTTTTTGCTCCTCTCCCCTGGTGTCGCCTCCTCCTCCTTGGTTTGACTCCTCTCCCCTGGTGTCGCCTCCTCCTCCTTGGTTTTGACTCCTCTCCCCTGGTGTCGCCTCCTCCTCCTTGGTTTTGACTCCTCTCCCCTGGTGTCCTCCTCCTCCTTGGTTTTGACTCCTCTCCCCTGGTGTGCCTCCTCCTCCTTGGTTTTGACTCCTCTCCCTGGTGTCGCCTCCTCCTCCTTGGTTTTGACTCCTCTCCCCTGGTGTCGCCTCCTCCTCCTTGGTTTTGACTCCTCTCCCCTGGTGTCGCCTCCTCCTCCTTGGTTTTGACTCCTCTCCCTGGTGTCGCCTCCTCCTCCTTGGTTTTGACTCCTCTCCCCTGGTGTCGCCTCCTCCTCCTTGGTTTTGACTCCTCTCCCCTGGTGTCGCCTCCTCCTCCTTGGTTTTGACTCCTCTCCCCTGGTGTCGCCTCCTCCTCCTTGGTTTTTGACTCCTCTCCCCTGGTGTCGCCTCCTCCTCCTTGGTTTTGACTCCTCTCCCCTGGTGTCGCCTCCTCCTCCTTGGTTTTGACTCCTCTCCCCTGGTGTCGCCTCCTCCTCCTTGGTTTTGACTCCTCTCCCCTGGTGTCGCCTCCTCCTCCTTGGTTTTGACTCCTCTCCCCTGGTGTCGCCTCCTCCTCCTTGGTTTTGACTCCTCTCCCCTGGTGTCGCCTCCTCCTCCTTGGTTTTGACTCCTCTCCCCTG